ACTTGCAAAAGGTAGTTCTTTGTTACGTTTTGTACTCTGCATTGATGTTATTGGAAAAGTCGTATGGATATTGAATAACATTTCATGTATATATTGATTCTAGATAGGTTTAGAGTTGGGAACAGTTTTGAGTATACCAAGAGCAGAGATATGGATAATCAGCTGGTATACAAAATGTTGGCAGATTTTAAATATCAACATTTTAAATATTTTAAAAACATATCAATACAAAACTGTACAGTTTTTATTTATGACATGTGTGCGTAGTTGTTAAACAGATATTTACCTCACAACTATATATAATTTAAGTCAGTTCTGACTAATACACAAAATTCAGCACAAACGAAATAGTTGTTAGTGTGTGATGTAATCCGAAATAGAGGTTTAAAATCGTATATAATCATCCTTGATCCTTTACACCTGTTTCAACGAATCTTTACACTTACAATAAATCAATAAGATTTTGCAAAACACAAATACTCAGATGATAACATTCATTCGTGTCCAGCACAAGGATTGTTTTGGTAGGAATTAACCCCTGCCGGTGGTGATGTTATTTTTCCAGTAGATTGTTCTATTTGTTACATTTACGCAGAGAGAAGACGTATTTCATAATATAAGGTATATCAATTCATAGTGCTCTCAGTTTTATACAACTCGCTTCCTACCCTCTGTCTGATTGACCTAATGCGCAGTGTTGGTAAATTTCAATTCAGACGATATATATATGAATATTTATTTAAGCTGATACCATTATTATTGTGTAAGATGTAGACGCTTTTTGCCCGAACAACATTTCAAATGGTGAAGACGCTTACTCTGCCGTAACATCTGGTATTATATCCCTAGTACCTTGTTCAGGAATCCTCATGTAATTCTATATTTCATTCATGTTTATGATATTGTTGATGTTTTCTTTGTTGTTTTTAGTTGCCTATCATATCAGTTCAGACTGTTTTGTTGAATGTATATATGTATATATTGGTCTATATCACTAATTCATAAAAGGACAATCCAGTACTAAAATCTGCATATAGTGATACCAGTGTCAGTAAATTTGTCCTAAACTTTTAAATCTATGATCTAATTTTCATGTTTTTAGTAGCCACACAATTCTATAGAATGAAATAGAATGAGGATATTGCACTATTTTTCTTATTGCTGGAGTTATATTCTATTACATTTTATAAAAGAGGAAATTTTTGAAAAATAGACTTTCCTAAAAGTAAATGCGAATGCCTGTATTTACGAATAAAAAAATCAAATTTTAACTCAAATTGGTATATCACCCACAAGAAAAATGCTGATGCTCGTAGCCAAAAAAAAAAATAAAAAATAAAAAAAACTATCATGTTAACAGACTTTATGATAATTGATCTGACACACGAAATGAAAAATGATAGTTATGATCGATCTGAGGCAAAACGTAACTACATATGCGTGAAGCGTTTTATGCATATCGCGCAATATCTCTCGACAGATACTGAATATTTCATGCTATACTTTTCTCAGCTCCAACCTGTTTTCTTATAAGATAATTCAGGACAAAGTTTTAAAGGATAAATGAAACGCCCTTGACTACAGGATTGTTTTGAAAATGTTCAAAATGCATCCTCATGCGAATACCACGTTCAAACCCCCATTAAGTCATAGACACAGCATGTCCTATTGTAAATAGAATACAACATAGTGCGGTATCGTTTTCCTGTAATTCGTCATGCATATTTGGCATCAAGATACGGCATTCCAGAAAGATAGAAAAAAGACTGTAATTCTAATTTAATTGAAATGCTCTCTTCACTAGCCTGTATTTTGCACTAAATAAAAATCTTCTCAAATGTCTCAACATAGAAATAGGACCAACTTTTATATAAAACAATTACGATGTATTGCATGCAGTTAAGTAGTGCAAATACCTCGTATATATACTTCTTAAACGTATGACACATTTGAAGGTGATATAAGATGAACTCTTCATGTCATATATCACAGAACACAGATAGCAGGTCATTTTTTCTTTTCAGTTTCTTCACCAGATGACTATAAAGTTGACTAATGTTGCCCAATAGAGCGTACCAAGACAAGATTTCTATAAAATATTTATTGACTTTAGAAAGTATTCCATCTTCCCATGACAGCCAGTGACTTTTTATGTCGTTACGTTCAAGTTACCCAATCAGGCATGCTAAAAATCAATTATATCTTAGAATATGAAATCAGATTTACAATCTGAGAGTTCAACTTTATTGCCGTATACAAGTAATGTCCAATCATGCATAACAATTTTACTCTCAATAGTATTTTCTTGCCATTGTCCGCCGCCTATAACTGGGATTCCTTGTCAGATAATGCATACTATAATCAAGCATGTTTGGAACGAATTGATATGATATTAAACATCATATTATAAAAACTGACCAAGTGTGAGGACTGTTCTAGACTGAGACTACAAAGAAGTAAAAACAAGTGACGTAAGGTTCCATGTAAAAGTGGAATCCCCCCTCCCCCGTCACTGTGACGATAATCGTCTTAATTTTCATTTTATACAAAATTTTATAAAACATGTCTTAATCGTTTTTGTTTTTGTGATTCTTCAAATAAATCTCACATGAAAAAAAAGTATTCTTTTATCATTTTACTAAGGAAGTTACATTTACAAAGATTTCTCAAGTGAAAATATGAACAAAAAACAAAAAACAAAAAATTAAACGAAAGCAGTCGTCATTTTCAATCAATGACGTAACGTTGTTGTCCTAAATATGACATCATAATCGATCTCTATTTTGGAAAAGCCATTGTAAAACGCTTCAGGGTGAATTGTACAGTGCAAACAAATTTACAAATAATAACAGTAGGATTATTTGATAAAATAAGATACGATACTCAAAATAACATTATTTTCAATGATCTGTCATCGATTGTTTTTTCCACAGTTACGTATAATTACAAGGAGCATTTTCGCTTGTGATAATTAATATATTACTTTAGATATAATGTTTAGATATAGTTTTTCATATGTTAGAATGTATACAAATCGCAAATAAATATACAATATATATAACAATACAATCAAGTTCGGGAAATTCAAATTGTTATGATTCTATCCGTTTTAATCCCCTCGAGACAGCTGAACTTTAACTATCTACCGGTCATCCGTATATATACGTTGGCGTAAACCAATGATTGTGTTATATCAGGCCTATGCCAACCACACATCAGATTCATTTACCAAGGCCAGTTATATCTTGAAGATATTTATACACATTACCGATTAAGGTCACAACTGGGCCATATTAGAGGTATCTGTCATTGCCAATTGCGAATACTACCACAGACATATCGCAAACGCTGATCTAGAATTGACTTTAAATTCGCGAATGAAGCGACATTAGAGACATGGCCCAGCGAAATTCCAATGTAGGTGACCAAATGCAATTCAGACTTATATTCGTACAAATAATAATGTTACTGTAAATCACATACATTTCGTGAGGGATTTTAATTCGCGATTGAGTATCCTCGGGTATTCACGCGAAAATAGATCCCACGCGAAATATATGTGATTAACAATAACATTTACAGTAAAAGGAAATAATCAACCGTCGCAATGATATGTGACAAATGCGAAAGTATTGTTGATACGGGTAGAAAATAGAAAGGGGCATATTTTATCCAAGGTGCTGATAGTCATTAAACTACAAAATAAGCGGTAAAATTAAAAGTAAAAATAAAACAAATGATCCAGATGATTATAATTTCCTTAATTAACAAATATCACGTGAATTTTTACTCGTTAACATCTTTATTATGCACCGATTTTTTTTTAATTCAACGTAACATTAAGATCAATGTGAATTCATTATTTATTGAATAAATGTGATGTAAAAACACAGAAATTGTAATAAACTACAACAGGTCAAGTCAGAAAGTAAATTCTTTATTTTCATATTTTGTGTTTGTTTATACTTTGTATTGAATTAAAAATGAGCAATGGTAACTACACAAATTGAATCTGCCTTGGAGATAACACAATATATTTGGCTTTCTATCTCATACTCATCATTCAGATTATCTCCTCTTTTGAAAAACAACTGCGTAGCAAAAAGAAGGGTAATATTTCGAATACAGATAAATAGACAGACTACGTTAATGTTACGTTATACGTCTGTATCAGTTCCATAGCTATGAGCCCTGGCCTGGCCAGGTCTGTCCGAGATCAAGGTGTGATTAATTCAGCCCCAGGCAGTTTCGACATCTTCAAATTTGATCTGATTATTGAGGCATTATAATAACATTATCTATCTTTCTAATCCGATTTAAGCGTATGTTAAAAGTCCTTGTCTTTAATTCATCATCAACAGAAAAAACATCACGTGATTGATATATTTACTATTGTTTAATCAGTCGTTACAAACATTTTAATAAGAAGACATTTGGTATGTTACAATACTCACTTTCCAGAGGAACTCTAACTGTGTTGAAGGTAAGTGTTTACGTACCAACTATCCAGTGTAAACCTTTATATATATAATAGTATAACCATGATAAAGGCTAAGGCCAGAACTGTCATCACATTCGCAGTTGCCAAAACTGAACTGAAATGTCATGGAATATAAGGAATTCAAAGCAGATTTTTGATCACATTGAAGTACGCATGGAGGCCTCCAGTAGCTTAACAGAGCAGTACATGAAATTCGGTGGCAATATGCTTTTTGTACTCATACAATGGCAGATGAAAATAACTTATAGCAACTTATCTGACCAAATTACAGAAAACTCTTATAGCGCATTCGTCTATCACCAATATGCCCAAATTTCAATTTCTGGCGTCGCAGCTACTGTATATCCTAACACGTTCGAAAAGACTATAGCACTGTTCACTTTGATCTAATTGTCGAAAGGGTTGCTGAAAATAGACATAATCGTGTAAAAATTGGTAAAACTATAAGATTAAACGTATTGATTATCTTGAATTTGTCAGTAATTTATATCCCTCTTACCGTGGTTTTCACCATTATTATCGTCCTTTCCGATGTTAGCTTCTACCCCAATCATCGGCAAATAGTAATTGTAATGTAAGCACTCTTTATCCCAGATGGCTGTAATTCTAAAGATTAAAGATAACTTTTTTGGAATTGTCCAAGGGGTCCAACGTTTTGGCTGATATACACAAGACAATCGTTGAACCTCATGACGTCACTGTAGTAAAAATACATATTTCCCCAATTTGATATCCTTTTTATATATAAACTAGTGAATGCATTTTCCGCGACAAAATGTTTATATTTACGTCAATTAAATACATGTTGCACACCATTGAATATTACAAATATAGCAGGTGGTCTTTAACATAGGCGTGTAAATCGGCATTCGTACAAAATATACTGAAAGGATAAAGAAACGCAGGGTAATATTTCTTCCGATATTTTGAAAATGCGTTCTCCAAATAAAGTGAAACTTTGTGGATTGAGTAATTAGGTCATATTACACCTTGTCATGTATCGAAAATTTAGTCACGGTACAGTGCGCAGCTCTGGTAAATGGAGGAAGGAAAAAACAAGAATCTCGTGCACCGTGTTGTTCTGGTCTCACGCAGCGTTGGTCAAGTCACTCTTTGTTAGTCTTTATACAGACCAACTGCTTCCCTAAAATTAATTGAGAATTTGATTCGTTTTAAGAATGGCACGACTCACAGAAGTTCAGAGGGTCAGACCATTCACGACGTCACGACGTCAGGATCACTATATCGTCGTTTCTCATGTGCGTAATCGGCGCCTTACTGCCGTTGAGAGTGCACTTAATGTTCATGGAAATCATGGGCGTCCTATAAGTTCAAAAACTGTAAGGAATCGATTACGAGAAGTTGGTGTGAGAGCACATCGCCCCTACGTAGGTCCACACCTTACCCCTGCTCGACGTCAGCGTCGTATGGCCAGGGTCGCTGTACATGCTCCACCACGGTTTCCACTGAGGCAGTGGAGACAAGTTTTCTTCACGGACGAGCCTCGATGCTGTCTTTATCGATCTGACGGCCATCAACGTGTCTACCGACGTCGTGACGAACGTTTTACGGACGCTTGCGTTGTAGTGAGGGATAGGTTTGGGGGCAGTTCAATAATGATGTGGGGAGGAATCTCACACGGGTTAAAATCACAATTGGTTGTTATTGATGGCAATTTAACAGCAGCTAAGTATAGAGATGAGATCCGCCGACCCCATGTTATCCCTTTCTTACAACAGCATAATCTAACCCTCCAGCAGGATAATGCTAAGCCCCACGTAGCAAGGATTAGCCAAGTCTTTCTGGCCAACAACAACATTCAACCACTAGATTGGCCGCCATATAGCCCTGATTTGTCCCCGATCGAGCATCTTTGGGACCAGTTGGATAGACAGGTTCGAAAGCGCCAGCCATCCCCTGCTACTGGAGAGCAGTTGACCAGAGCTCTGATTGAAGAGTGGGACAACATCCCCATAAGACGGATTAACGCTCTCATGAACTCATGACCACAGCAAACGGCGGACACACAAGATATTGATGACTCAGTTCAATTTCAATTTCACAATCCTATGGGTCCATTCAATTTAATCGTTAGTACCTCTAAACCAATTGTCATATGCAAAATACAGACTTTGGAAAATTTTAAGCTTTAATTTATCTGTAAGTATACAAAATTTCGTTTTAAATGAAGCCCGATATCATACTTAATTTCTGGTGTAAAGTTCACCCTGCGTTTCTTTATCCTTTTAGTATATAATACGTGGTTGATATTATATGAAGAGTTGATAATTAGGGAACACAGCTACAGTGTATCATATTTAGTTTTCACATATGGTATCGCATATATTATATCAGAACTGCCGAATTACTGCTTAAGGGTAATATTTGTTCAAGACCATTAAATGAGTGAGAGCAAAAAGCATGGAAATTACGTGTACATTCTGGTAACCTATCTATATGCACCTGTGAATATTATTCCATGGGCTTTTATCTTACACGTGTGTAATGAAAACTTGTAAATAGGATCATGTGTAAATATGTAATGGAATTCTTGGGTCCACCTACCTTTATTTTCCATAGAATTTCAACCATTGCTGACAAATACATATAGCGTTAAAGATGATTACGTGTTTGTAGGATTGGATGAAAGCCTCAGGTATGACATTTGGCAATTTGGGTACATAATAAATGAGATATTAGGAAATAATTATCAAGCTAGAACATAGAAGCATCGAACACGTCAAATAAAAAAGTCCCCATATTTTTCGTCCATTTGCATCTCTCGAAACTTATCTTTTGATTGTATCTGTTAGATGTTGACATTGCTTGAAAAACGTAATAGTGATAAAATCGTTTTACTTCTATATCCATTTCTGCAGGTTGTTCCTGAAAAAACGAATTAGTATTTAGAATAGAAATTTCAATATATATATATATATATATGTATTATATAAACTTTGTACGTAGTACTTAAAAAGAAAATGTAACCCTGCTTGCACTAGCAAAATTCTTACAATATTAGCTATTGTATAACCAGTACAGTTTACTCGTGGGATCCTTTCATCTCCCCTCATTGCTTTCTTGTTTCAGTAATTCTATAGAAAATGTGTACAAACTATTACCTTTGGGCAGTAGTGGTCACGTGGTCTGTGACGTCAGCATTACCATGTCCTCATGAAGATGTTAACTTGATGAGCTGGAGTGAAGCGTCAACATGGCCTGGCAACAGAGTGAGATAGTATTTTAATAGATTTTTAACTAGGTATTTCAGTAACCGTAAGCGTACAAATATATTCAGAAATAATTGAATCATGCCTATTTAATTAATGATAATTGGTTCGAGTTAAAACGAAAACGATGAAAATGGACGCGATAAAATTGTTACATTTTATAAGGTTTACAATTACAATATTGATAGTAATGTAGGAACCAATCATTTTTTGTTTTGTCGTTGTTGTTATTATCATTTTTTATTGCTTTGTGTTCTGTATTTTGTTTATTAAGCATTAATATGGTTATATGATATGATATTTGTACCTGTTGTTATTGCATGTACTTTATGTGAAAATATGACGTGTATTGTACAAACTGAGATTTTCTGTAAAGTGACGTCCTAATTAGGTAAGAAATAAGCGTACAATTTATACCTTTTGTGTAATTTTGTGGTACAGTAATTTTGATCTCAATTCTACTTTAATAACGTAGACATTGACTTGTAATACTTTTAATTTCAAGTCTTAAACATGTGTTGTAATATATTCATTAAGATAAAAAGATAATCAATTATTTTGTGCCTTTATGAAAATAAATTTAAAAAAAAATAAACAAGAATAAATAAATAAATAAGGAAATAACAAAAGCAGTAAGTCTAAGAGTTATGGGTCATATTAGTTGACTTTTAGGAAGTCGTTTCTTACTATGTCAATGTTTTAGGTTCCAGTGGCAGGTGATGAGGTGATAGTCAATGGAAACGTGTTACTAGATATGTCACCTCCGGAACTCAGAAGTCTGACGGTAGAATCTGGTGCTGTCCTCGTTTGGAGTCCGAACGGAGACTATCACGTGATAACAAAATACATCCATGTCAAAGGAGCCCTTCATGTTGGATCTGAGACATGTCCATTTGAAGCAAACGCTCGGATCACTTTGACAGGTGTGTCAAGATTATATTTCTACTTTGTTGACGGAATGTATCGGGATCGGTATATTTAATTTCAATTCACGAATGCATTTTTATGTAGTTGAAAATGTTGACGAGTCCTAGAAGAAACAGCTGTGTGATATAGTTTAGGTTTTGATTTCGCTCTACTGTGCTTGTAGATGCTAAACCCTTATGTCTCTGTGATATCTTTTCATATGCAAACTTGTCTGTAGAGCTGTTTATAGCATACGAAAAGCAATATTGGTTGATGGAATGGAATAAGAGAGTGTAAATATGAAGGTCACTTACTGTAAAATCATATATTTTCATGAGTTCAAATTTTTATGATTTTCTAATAGTATACATTTTCGTCGGTATTCGTGGAATAACCTTGCTCATGAAATCCATTTATACGATAATGCAAGTAATTCATCCGTGGACGTATTCATTGATTTATAGTATTCATGAGTTCAGTGAAAAAAATCCTCCACGAAAAACAATAATTTTACAGTACCACTTGACAAGTATAAATCATGTTACTAATAAATTAAATTTGGGAATATATTTTATTTCGATGAAGAACTTTTCACAATTATCTTTCAATGCAGGAGATCGAAAGGAATATTCTATGCCGAACTTTGGTGCAAAGTTTATTGGGGTTGCCAGTGGAGCTACACTGGAGATTCATGGCAGGAAGAAACTTGGATGGACTAAATTGACAAAAACAGTACCTCGTCTTGACAAAACAAACGGTCTTGTGTATACCAGTCTGGATGTAGTAAGTCGGCAATCTCCACGCGATTTCTGTTTTTCCTATTATTCCTTTTCGTTGTGCTTGCATTGGCTACTATATCTTTGCTAATATGGAATATGATTTCATTTCAAAATTGTACTATTTTGCACATGAAACATCTTCTTTATCTTCCTTTTCTGATAAGGCCAGGAGACGGAATCGTGAAGGACTAGGAATGTACGTGTTTAACCAAGATGGCAGTTTATTCCGGTTAGAAATCCTCTCTACAAGTAGCAAGATGATAGGTGATAGTGAACTCATTATCAACAAAGCTGTCAAATTTCTTATGGGTAAGGCTGTTATTGTTGTATGGTTCAACATTGTTAAGACCAAGTATAAAACGATTACGTTGATTACCAGTATCGACAAACCACACTATTTTCAATTATATTGATATAGACCAACTGGACGCCGTATTTGAATAGGCTCAAAGTTTACATAAAACTAAAACAGCTAATGATCAAATAATAAAAGTAGGTTGTGTTCAGCATGACTCATCACTTTACGAAAAGCAATGCATTAAGTGATAAATAAATGCATGAGCGAATAAACGAATGAATGAATGAATGAATGAAAAGCCAGGATATTAATTTCAGGGACTCCAAACGATAAAGTGATCCTGATTGCAGTACAACATACACTGGTGTCGAACACTCAGACTCATGACTTGTCAAAGATTTTTGACGCTATTGAATCAGTTGCCGGCATCCCAAATGGTGAAAGCAAGATACGAAAAGTAGGACCGCTTGACGCTTACGCACTTGCTACTATACGAGGTATAATTCCCTTCACACAAATTTTGTAATCATTTTTATATTGGATTGATACGTGATTCATATGAGCTGTTTAACAAGAATACGGTATCCAGGGCCCGTATTCATGAAACCATCCTCATGCTTAAGCATAGATTTTTTGCTCAAGGAAATTTTTCATAACTCGCCTAAATCATATAAAATGATACAAATGTCAAATATAAACATTGATTATAACTTTGACTTGAAGTCCTTTCAAACTATTTTTTTTAATCTTTGGCAAAATCAGCCTTATTTATTGATTTTTAACTTAAACAAGACATAAGGCTTGAGCACAACATTTTATGCCTGAGCATGAGAACGGTTTCATGAATACGGGTCCTTGTCTTCCCATCATTGTGAAGAAGCAAGTAACAACCGATAGAAATACACACTGCTTTTTTTATATCCCTCTTTGTTCTTTGTAGGATTCAGCAGTGATGATAATGGTCTTATTTGCGATATTGTTATGAACGCAAATTTCAAAAATGAAGTGCATGTTTCCAAGGTATATTTTACTTGAAACAGGTTACCCAGATTCTACCTGTGAGACGTTGTCCCGAATGAGTCATCTTAAACAGACTGCCACAGCTTCTGTGCCTGTTGGTGACCTAGTTATGATAGCTACAAGCAGGACGCATGCAGTCCCTACAAAATGGAATGATTTCATTGAGTTTCAGGTTGTGCAAAAAAGTGCAAGTGCAATCGTTTTAGATGTAGTTGATGACGTCACTACATGGAAAGAAGGTATTACCTAACGCTCTCACAGTAATATAGATATGAATACTAATTTCATCTTAAAAAACTGTGAAATGACTTCCGTATTTGGAACGGTTTAATGTAATGTTATGTAAATAAAATCTAACATGTTCTAACATCTTAATGTAAATTAATACTTGATTCGTAAGATTTTAGAAAATCACATAATGTTTGTGATATATGGATCAATCCGGTACGTGTTACTGTAGGTTATTTAGTATAACCCTGAGCGGTAGCTCTTCTGTCGTGATTAATAAAAGTAGTTGTATCACCTGGACGCCATTTCTTATGAGTTGATTGTTCCACGTGGGTAGCAAACAAGATATTACAATGTTCACCTTTTGTAAGTAGACATCTCAGCAAATAACAAATAATAATATACATTGTTTCAGCAACCTTTATAATGGTTACTTTGTTCTCTCATCTTACATTGGTTCATATGAAGACAAAATCAACAATATTGGACTTAATAAACTGTCAGTAAATAGGCTCAAGTATTGATAATTAACTAAATTACTTTGAAGTTGTAAAGCTATATCATTAAAAAAAATAAATGATGATTTTACTTACGTATTTTACTAATGTCGATATTAATCAATATCTCATTATACAATAATATATGTAGAAATTCATCTTAAACGTTCATCAGTTCATCATTTGCTTTAAATTACCCAAGTTAAATTGTTTGTCAATTTTAGCATTCAGTTCTTGACTACAGTGTACAATATCAATTAACACAACATAACTAGATATGCAATGTGTACGAATAGTGTATAGCCGGTTATTTCGCGGGAATAATATTTCGCAGTACATTATCGTGATCGCGAAAATTTAAAATACTGAGACATGAGTGAGTTAGATGTCCCTTTACATTAAAACCCAGAAATCTTTTATCGTGAATATACAATTATTTTTTTCCGCAGTGATCTAGATTTCGAAATTCATGTCATTGTTTATGTTTTGAAAGTAAATCGCTGAGATTTTGGCCCATGAAATTTACTAACTATACAGTATATATTTTAACACAGGTGATCGACTGTTGTTGACATCTACTGATTACGACATGGAAAAGGCCGAGGAAACTACAGTTCTCAGTTGTGATGATTGTACAAACAAACAAGTGAAAGTATCACGTGAGTTTTATAATCGTAGAACACTAAAAACGAATAACAATGTTTCATTACAATTTTGCTCACGTTCTAGTATAAGGAAAGAAAAGACGAGGAAATTAGATAGACAAATAAAATACTTATAATAACAACATCGTTTTCCCTCTATATTCGTAGTTTCTAACATGAAAGGAAACGTGCTTAAGGCACAATTTACATAAAAAAAATATTTGTTTGCCATTTTGTAGCCAAACGTTTCGTGACAAATACATGATATGTACTACAATACAGCACGTGTTTACTATTTTTTTAAAAAAAATGTTTTTGTTAACCATGTTTACTTTATCGCCTCTTGTTTCGTTTTAGTTCGACCAAAGTTTATGCATTTTGGTGAAATAGATACCACCATTGATATGAGGGGAGAGGTGGCGCTTCTGTCGCGGAACATCGTCATAGAGGGTGCTGTGAATAGTTACTGTCCAATTGCAAATGAAAATTGCAAAGCATACAATTACGATACATTTGGTGGTCATATCAAGGTACTAGTATGAAAGCGTAAATAGCACACAGGCAATATCTTGGCATTCATAGAGATTGAAAACAATAAATATATTGAATTTATATTATGACTTTAAATACAATATTGTAAGAACATATATTCTTAAAGATAATGCTTATTATTGGTTCCAGATTCTGAAAGGTTTTAGCAATGTGCACATTGAAGGTGCTGAATTACAGAGGATGGGCAAGCAAACCGACATCGGTAAGGGCGTAAATAATTCCACATAAACAGTGTGCAAAATAAAAACTTATATGTAAATTAGAACTTTATCATTGTTCGTTTTTTTAAAAATCCAATGTTTTGAAATGGCACCGAGTGTGAAAACTTTGTGTCTTTATAGATTGACATAGTTGACCAGCAATTATCAAACAAATACACACTTAGTTTACCTAATACAATGCTGTTAAGGCGTTGATTGTCAGCAGTGTCAACTTGTCGGATTATTTTTTTCTTGGAATTGATGGTTGTAAATATTACTAGTTTGTTCTATGGCTTTAATCAGTCTTTAAGTGAATATTTGCCCTTATAAAGTATACAAAACGTGTCAATCAGGGGACATAACCTTGATAATGAGTGATGATGTCTCCATTGCAGGACATTATCCCATTCACTTCCACATGTGTGAAGATGTTGATGGAGACGACTACCCTAATCCACCCTATATCAAAGACAACGTGATACATCATACCTTTGCAAGGTGTATCACGCTTCATGGAACACATGGTGTGATGGTATGTAAATAACTAATGGTGCGAAATTGCAAAACACTTTTTTATAAAAGCTGTAAAATCTTACTAATGATAATTGGTAGGAGTACGTAAAGTTGTAGATATTTCATCACGAAATCTCCAGCGTCTCCGAGGATCAAAGATTTGTTATACTTTTCTTAGAAATAATTGATAATGGGGTTTTCTGTGGTAAAATAGTTATGCATTCACAGCACACCTAGGCGATCCTTGGTTCGCAGAAATATTGTTAACTACGTAGAATTTCAATAAGTACTCTGATTCATATAATAAATCTCGCGAGCTTTCATCCAAGTAAAAGGGTGTGAAAAGGTGATAAGTACATGTTGAAAAAAAAACTTGTTTCGAAGTTAATATGAAGTGAATAGATTTTCTTAAGCATACAAATGTTGGATATAGTGCTCAGTGTGTTATTTCTAGCATATCGTTGTTTGTTTTCGTTAATAAATTGTTTTCATATAATCATCATACTATAATTGTGACAATATGCTACATTGTTTAATCTGTTTATTTGAAAAAAGGTGATGGACAACGTGGCATACGAGTCTTTAGGACATTGTTACTTCCTTGAAGATGGAGGGGAAAAGAGAACTGTTTTTGATGGAAATTTGGGTGCAAGTACTAGACACGGAAGTCTTATACCGCTGGATAGGTACAGTTTACTTTAGAGAACAAAGGAATTGACTTTTTCAATATGAAACACAAGTTTAGAATCTGTCTGAAGAACAAGATTGTTTGAATATGTATCGAAATTACGAAACAGAAGTACTTTCCCCGTACTTCAATACGTTTTCGTAATTTCCATGCACTTTCAGTTAGACGCAACTTGCTTCATTTTCACCAATACCCTGGTTCTGAAACAATGACTCGTCAACATATGTTGGCTAAACTAGTTAAATTTCAGAACTCCGGACTAGTGTTTGAACAACGTATATAACAATAAATGATTTGCATGTTGCTTTACAGGCGACCAACCACCTTCTGGATAACAAATCCACAGACGACCTTTCGGAATAATGTTGCAGCAGGGAGTAAGGTAAAACGTTGTCCGAAAGACACACACGTAAACAGTACCTTAAACATACATAGAGAAAAGTCAAATACTAGATTTAACAGCATCATACTGCTGTGCTGTCCAGCTAGGATGTGTAAGAGATATTGAGGGCATAAAATGTTGACAGCTTTGGGCGACGGATGGAAATCCTAGTTAGCACTGTCCCTACGATGTCTCTCAGACAAAACCAAAATAACCAAAATAAGCACGCACCTGCCGAGACAAATATAACATTGAAATGTTATTCCTAAAGCAGACATATAAACCAGAACTATTAAAAAATTGACGACAGCTTTGTTATATTTTTTGTAGGATATGGGAATATGGTTTATATTCCCTGACTTGCCTCTTGGACCATCTGCTGACAAAGGATTTATGAACATGTATGAAGCTCGTTACACTGCTATTACTGAGTTCAGCAACAATGTTGCCCATTCAAACAAGGTAAGTAAAGTCTAAGAAAAGAAAACTGTATGATATACATTTTCAATGTTAACTAGCACGCCAAATATATAAATACTGAATTCAATTCTGTAAATGTTCATGGTGTTAAATTGAAAGCATACAGACATTTTAAAAATCATTAAGCAATCCTATATGAAATGATACGTTTTAAGTGTTATTCTAAAATTAAGCTTGATAAGTATTAGTTCATATTTTTATGTTTTATATTTCACCACTGTAAATCTCGTACTTCTATGTATCCTAGAATGGTCTCTTCATCGATGACCGCATTGATTTGGTTACGGAAGAGATCGATTCTTGTAACAGGTACGAGCCAAAGGTAGACCCCTCTGATCGATATTCCGCTGACAAGAATGTTATCATTGACCGTCTCACAGGTAGGTTATGACGAAAGTGTGGTGTACAAAGCGTATTAACCAGTATTGTTTGTTTGGATGAATTTCCAATGAATAGCTTTGGGTCGAATATTGTAGTTCTACCCTATTTAAATAATTATATGACGTCTTTCTAAATTTATTAAATAAAACTACTGTTTCACTTAATAAACAGTATAAACCTTTATAAAACATCCGTTTTATCACAACAAATACCATGAATTACATTCTATGTTTCTATGAAGTCGTTTCAAATCAAATGAACTGGTTTCGAAATGTTTTCTTATGAATAACTGTTGAACGACATAAAGGAAAAATAGGAAATATCTATTACTAAAATATCGTCTCTTTCCTTGTTTTAACGCCTGTAGCATTTCATAATATTAGCATATGTTTATTTACTTTTATTAACTTTTATATAGAAATGAATTTTGTCTTTATTTACAGCATACCACAACAGAGATAACGCGTGGTTAAGAGGCGGTTACATAACGCTTTCTAAAGCATCGTAAGTTATCATTACACATTTTATTTAATACTTTAAACAAATCTACTGCTTGCTATTTTGTGAAGTACTCGCCTCATTTGTAGCTGTATGACAGGACTGGTTTGGATATGTTATGGTTGAGGTTTTTTTATTAATCAATAAAAGATATAATTACCCGGTATGCATTCGAGAGGATCGTAATGAGTTTAAAATGAACACGGACATTCCCATTTCCTGCAATAATAAAGATTTTACAAAAATTATCAATCATCAATCAAGATGCAAACTAAGATACATTTGCAGTATCTTGCCCTATGGATGACTGTTGAAAATTGTTTCCTAATGAATTGTTTTTTTTAAGACATTACGTAAAGTATAAAGGATAACATCCTTGTTCCACTTTAAACAAGTTTTAAATCTCCAAACATTTCACTTCATAAAGTTTTGTCCTGCAGATGGCTGTTGAAAATGTTTTAATGGTTCATTTTGGGCAAACATTGCGCATATGAAGTTCAATTTCGAGCAACATTCCTTTGGTCAGGTGTTATTGTTTGAAAAGGAAAATAAGCATTCTAAATACACATGTCGCCAGGTATGGTGCTAAATATCACAGATAATAACAATATGAAGATATGTAAACAAATGAATTTCATGAACGGCAAAACATTACACAATCCATTTTTAACTGTCCATGAAGAACATCTAGCAGTGAACACTATAACGAGATAGACAGATAAACTAGAAAATGTTAAAAGATTTTGAAATTAGATTTAGAAAAGGTTTGAAATTAATTATCATTTTTTTTTTACTTAAAATACTTCTTTTTGGTTGAAGGCTTGGAGGAAGTTTAACATCTATGCTCTTTGCAAGGTTGGTATTCTTTTTTATATTATTTAAATTTGACTAAAACGTGTTTGCTCTTTGAAAACGTAAAGTTTTGATAATATACAATGACTGTACCAGTCCATTCATTAAACACATAATACAACCAATATCCAGATATTGCAGATTAGAGGTATAATTTGCTGTTAAATGGGAAAAAACAACAAAAGATGATTATATTGGAAAAATGAAGAAAAAAAAGAAAAAAATTAAAATATTCATTGAAAATATATTCATATTAGAATTAATGCATATACTACCGTCAATGTTTTTAATTTACTTATTACATAGAAATTCGAGACAAGAGCAATTCGTGGAGAAGAGTGTTATCATAGGTGAGACAAAAAACACTGGCGATCCGACACGAGCCTTCGGTGAGGACGGCTGGAAAAATTTACCTCGATCTATACCACACCAATATAAGTAGTAAGTAATTATATGTATGTGAATGTTAATGGTTGTTGTGTTCATAATAAAAAAATCATTAAGCCACCAAGTGTGATTAGTCTGTCTTTCTGAAGTAAAGAGCATCGTATAAGCATTATGGGGCCGCGGTGGAGTTTTCGTCGGGAACTCTGGCTTTTATCCATCATCCCAACCGGGCATGGCCTTAAATGACTTTGGCTGTTAAGAGGACGTTACGCAACGATAGACTTTAGCATGCTGATAATATATGCATCATAGTTATTATCAAGCAGGTGAAATATGAGTTATATAAAATAATGTGAAAAGAAAAAAATATGACAATTTCTATCATAAGATATCTTGCCTTAATAACAAATGTTAAGAACAAATTATATCCATGTGAATTGTGAAAACTTGTTAAAATAGTTAATTTCAAGATGTAAAGTTATTCTTGTTTTGTATTGTATGTAGAACAACTTATATCAAGATATATGAAATACGATTGATAAAAAAGAACTGAGAACGCATCCCATATATCTATTGACTGTTGAAATAATCCTAAAAATATTTTCCAATATTGTAGCAATTTACCGTTACAAGGATTCGGTTTCTATGACGGACCTGTATTCATTTCTGATACTTACTTTGACAAATTTACAACAAATGAATACCGAAAAGCGGGGGCTTTAGGTTTCAAGCGATTTAACACAGCGTCCAGCTCCTCTTTAAATGGAGCAAAAAATATCCACTTCGGGTTTCCAGACGGGGTAAGTTTTAATTAATGATTGGATGCTATTTCAAAACTGTAACAATTTATTTTCCTTTCTCAACATTTAAGGAACGTACATATTACTACAATTGTATATACACGTAGTGTTGTGAAACACCATGCAATACTATATCACTTAACACAGTTTTATCATATAGATCTGTCCAGTTCAACATAGCCACGTTGAGCATGGAAATTTCCGTGATCAGTCGATGAGAATAGACTTTTACAAAATTTTAGCTGCAAAGATACATTTTCTTAGAATTTAGGAAACGGTCTATCTTTTCTTTGTGTATTCATTTTAAAGAATTTAATATTGAATATAATCAAAAATAGAGAACAATACATTTACAAATGGTACATTTTCCCCACAGTTGACCACAGGAAACCGTGTGTATGACGGAAATAGTAGTATTTACGGCTATGGTGATTTGGATGGCGACCTAGCGGCAACATTCAGAGATATGGACGGGTCTGTTACTACAGTGCCCTGGAGCACAGTCGTGAGGCCTTTCTCCTTCATGAATACGCCGGAATGCACCATGAAGTCAGCATGGAATCTGATGATATGTCCTTATAAATACATGACGGTATGGTTTTTAATGACAATGCAGTAACATATATATATATGTCTAGCCTAAGATGTTCTGGAGCAAAACTATTCGACATTGTTGATAGATATTTGACAACTATTTGGAATTCATTCTTATATCCAGATTGATTGAACATGGAATTACATTTATAACAGAAAACAAAATGATCGCCCTCATAATGCTAAACACGTGCATTACGTACTTCTCAATTATGCATGCATTGTACATGTATTAGATATCTCCCTGACTGATGTGAGGACGTTGAATCTCCTCGAAACTTAATCAACAGCCTACTACTGAGCTGTAATAAGATGAGATGTTGCATAGAAAGGTGTCAGTAAATTACTTAAATCTAAAAAAAAAACAAACAAACAAACAAACAAAAAACAAAAAAAACAATAATTTTATATTCATGATACAGTTACGCTGTCAAGACGTATCGCCCGATAAAGAAGACAGGAAAGCAATATTCGTTCGGGATGATTTGCCTGATTCTCCTTGGCAATCTACCATACCTCATTTCCGTGGATACCCACTTATAAGTGGTGGGAAGTACAGTTACTCCATCTACTGGCCGGACAAGTCACCATCTGAGTTCTTACTTCTTCCAAGGGATCAGGAAAAGTGAGTACGTTTTGTAATGACAAAATGGATATGTTTGTGCATACCCTAGAGATGATTTAGTAAAGCTATCGTATAGACTTGTTTGCTGTATTCTAATTCAGGGAATTCATTGCATCGTAAGATTTAATGGTCGATCTGGAAATAGAAACAGAAAACTTTGAAATTATTTATCGTGGAACTTTCAGAAAAATCACAATAGAATGTACGACATTTGATAAAAAATCTGGTTTAAAATATTAACGATCAAATGTAAATGTCTACTTTCCAGTACCTTATTTTTCCAAATGTCATGTTCAAGACATTGGATATTCCCATGCGAGTTCTTGCTCATTTCGCTTTCATTTTTCCTAAATAAGGACTATGTTGTGCATCATAGTATTAGTGCCTCAATTCCCACTTTCTAAGTTTCAATTCTGGTTTATAAAATTTTCCTTTTTTTTCCTTTGTATTTTCAAAGCTAAAAACTTTCAGCATCACTGACGAGATCTAGAAGGAAACACAAATAATACATGATTTTTGTACAAATTTTTACTGTATTACCTTACAACGTGTCGTATACTGTCTATATTTCAAGTAATTTATGAAGACTTCCTGTACTTTTGAATGTCTTGGTTTCGATCTTTGGTAGAGGTGACCCTGTTCGTGTTGGTGTATGTCTACCACTGGATGCCACAATTAACCTAAAGACATGGTATCCTAAACGATTCGTTGGCATAAATCAATGGACAGAAGTGGACAGTGTCCAGGATATAGACGATGACACTGTTGGAGGCAAATATTTCCGTAACAGAACATCTGGGTGAGTATTGTACTCAAATTGCTGTTATAATCGTCGAGGTGTTTTTTATATATATATTTGTCGCTGTTATGAGAATTGAGTTATAGAAAGAAAAAAAATAACTTGATAATCAGACTAAAACAGAAAATCATACTACTTTACATATCTGTCGTATACAGACATTAATTTATTTTGCCCATCCATTAATCCATCATTTCATCCACCATCCATCCATCCATCCATCATCCATCCGTCCAACCATCCATCCATCCATCATCCATCCGTCCAACCATCCATCCATACATCCATCATCCATCCATCCATCCACCATCCATCTTCCACCCCTCCATCCATCCATCCATCCAGCCAGCCAGCCAGCCATCCATTCATCCATCCATCCATCCATCCATCCATCCATCCAGCCAGCCAGCCAGCCATCCATTCATCCATCCATCCATCCATCCATCCAACATCCATACATCCATCCAACATCCATACATCCATCATCCATCCATCCTTCCATCCATCCATCCTTCCATTCATCCATCCATTCATCCACCCTCCATCCATCCATCCATCCATCCATCCATCCATCCATCCATCCATCCATCCATCCATCCACCATCCTTCCTCCATCCATCCAGCCATCCATTCATTCATCCATCCATCCATCAATCCATCCACAATCCATCTTTCCATCCATCCATCCATTCATCCATCCATCCATTCATCCATCCATCCATCCATCCATCCATCCTAGACACTTATATGTCAAAAAATTCTAACCACAATCAAAACACCAATTCGATGAAACAATGCCTTTGGTTCAGGTGTTTTCATTCTCGTTCCTTATTTGGGAACGAGACATTTAATTCCTTGGAATATTCACGATTTACTTGCCGACTGCTGTCAATGAAGCAGAACAAATATACTCTTCCTGAACATACATGGTGTTATTTTCCTTGTACTGTGGCGGGAGGATCTGTTATTTTTTATTTTGTTCTTGTATGTATTTCATTCAAGTTTATTTGACTTTGAGTTATAATTTAAGATAATGTTGATATGTCGGTTTTTTTTACATTGTTGTAATTTAACCATTTTACACGTAGTTACATAGTTCACATTTAAACACATTCATGTTACATTCGTAGTTAGAGCTACAGAGAGATCAGGAAAATTATACCATCTAAGATTGCTGTCCAAACCTAAAACCTTCTAATCTTTATGAAATGTGTTACAGGATGCTTTACGTGAAGTTACTTACGGATGTAGTGCGGACGGCAGACGACACCGATCCATGTGCTGGAGACAAATGCGTCATTATCAGGGTTTATGTCAACGCAACAGACATGAGCACCGCCCATTGCAGAGAGAGGGACACGCCCACTCCTCCGACTAAGGTATTTCAAAACTAATCATGATCTCTCGGATGTTTTATTTGATGGTTACACTATTGCATTAAGTAGAATGTTAGATAATTGGTTTGGAATTAGCCGTTTTCTTAAAGTATAAAGTTATGCAGTTCAATCTACATTACTTATTGTTGTCTATTACAGAGGTCCGTCGCCAGAAAGAGGAGTGACGATAGCTTATCGTTTGACAAGTACTACGACGGCCCAGAACCGGTAAAATGTCTACAATCAATTTCTCCTATTCAGATTAAATGCTTATAGCCTCGAAGAAAATACTTGACGACCTGAAATAACCAATCTAGTTGATTAATTCAAGAAAAAATCTTATCAATTCATATTCTAATTTCAAATTGAAAGAGTACCAGACAATTTGACAAATTAGATGCTGGTAAAAAAGACACAGAAACGACTAGCATTTTAATACAGGTTTAGGGTAAGATGGAACAGAGACAAACAATGATTTAAACTGCATCATCATTCCCGGACTTGACTCGATATTGATGCTAGGGGTCTAAACTTTGAAGTCTAAGAGGCGACAGAGAAAAATCCAAAGTGATCGAAAGAAAAGTCAAAATCTATTTGAGGAGGTGGAGCAGCCCAATAATGCAATAAGTTTCGAAATGTTCACATGACAGGGAAGATTAAAGTCTGAAATATATCACGTGAAATATAAACCTGATGAATGACTGATACGAAAAAGCTAAAGCGCAACATGTTTTCAGAATTCCTGTCCTCTGTATAGTATAATTTATTCATTTATAGGACTGGGGAGCTGGGCCTAATGTTCCTTTCAAAAGTAGAGTTGCTATTGATGGTGGATACGGTGACTGGAGTGAATGGGGAGCCTGCAGGACTGGTAAGTTCAATTTTTTTATAGCAACTCAAAGTGAGCATGAACATATTTTTAAGCCCCACACTTCTTCCTGTTATCGTCATAAATAGTAAAATGAACAGACTCGATTTTTCTGTCATTTATAGTCAATATGGAATTCTCTGTTCGTAAATATGTTTATCTTTTATGTTATTCCGCAAAGATTCCATCCAAGATATTAGATCAACAACAACAACAACAAAAAAAAAAACAAAAAAAAAAACAAAAAAAAAAAACAAAAAAAAAAAAAACAAAACAAAAAACAAAAACAACAACAAAAAAAAACCCCAAAAAACCAAAAAACAAAAACTTCAAACTTTTAAACAGAACTTAATAGTTTTATTGCTTCATAAAAAAATCCAAAGAATATCACAAATCAATACTAGTTACACTACCAACAGATATACATCTTACATACAGTTTAACAGGACAAAACAATTCTACAAATAAAGATTTCCAAACTGTTATATTTCTGCTATAATTTTGTCTTAACCGAGATGATGGAACACAACCTAAATCAAACGGAATTTTATTTTAGTAAACTCAGTAGACATCTTTTGTCACAATTTCCTGCAATATTTTGCAATTATCAAATGGAAAAGATATCTTCAGAAAATACAGAAAGACATGTTCATGCAAATAGTTATACATTTTATTAAAACCTGTCTTATCTTCTCTTATCCTATCTTATCTTATCCTGTCTTATCCTGTCTTATCTTATCCTGTCTTATCCTGTCTTATCTTATCTTATCCTGTCTTATCTTATCTTATCCTGTCTTATCTTATCCTGTCTTATCTTATCTCATACTGTCTTATCTTATCCTGTCTTATCTTATCCTGTCTTATCTTATCTTATCCTGTCTTATCTTATCTTATCCTGTCTTATCTTATCCTGTCTTATCTTATCCTGTCTTATCTTATCCTGTCTTATCTTATCCTGTCTTGTCTGATCTTATCCTGTCTTATCTTATCTTATCCTGTCTTATCTTATCCTGTCTTATTTTATCTTATCCTGTCTTATCCTGTCTTATCTTATCTTATCCTGTCTTATCCTGTCTTATCTTATCTTATTCTATCTTATCTTATCCTGTCTTATCCTATCTTATCTTATCCTGTCTTATCCTATCTTATCCTGTCTTATCATCTTATCTTATCTTCTTACCTTATCCTATCTTATCTTATCATCTTATCTCATCCTATCTTATCCTATCTTATCTTATCATCTTATCTTATCCTATCTTATCCTATCTTATCTTATCTTATCTTATCAACAAATTCATAATATCACCAAGAGTAGGAAGGACTAGATAATTGTACAATACCGATTCAAGATGTTAAAACTAAATTTCAGTGTAAGTAATTTAATTATTTCGTTTGAACCCTTTAGAAAGAATTAAGCAGATCTATTTCCTTGGCCTTTACTAAGTATGACACCAGATATTTTAATGGTGATTAGCATGTCTGGTGGTTTCGTTGATACAGACTCGGTGTTCATTTTCGGAATCGTTACATTATTAACATTGATATAGGTTAGCATTATTGGTGCTGTCGATGAAAGAGATGAGGCTTGCCCTCATCTGGTCCTAATATCGTTGCACGTGCGTGTGACTTTTTTCAATGGTATCATATTTATTCATTTCTGTCCTTGTTGATTCTAATTTGGAAACATGATTATTCTCTTTTTCCAGACATGATGTCAGTGAGAACACGTACTTGTAATAATCCTATTCCGAGACACGGAGGTGCGGGTTGTTTCGGTCCGAGAGAGGAGACAATGAATTGCGTTCAGTAAGTGACTTTCCCACCAATGTGAATGTAAATCCTCGTCCAGTGATGTCGTTACTCGACAGTAAGGGTCAGGAACGATAACTCTAGGTTTGAATGGCAATGCAGAACCGTGGGTGTGTTTTTAGACAGATTTGACATAACTTTGTTAAACAATAAATGAAAAGTATATATGTGGGGCAGAACAAGTAGATCTCATGAAGCGTATACGTTTTTGTTATAAAAAAAATATTTAGTTGTGACGACAAATGTGGATGCGCCATTGTTTTCAAGCATCACGTTTTACCCTTAATAACCGTAAGTGTGAATGTTGGTAAGGATTTTGTAGGCAAAAGAAGTTTTCGTTCGTCACAGTAGAAAATACCATTTTCGTTTTCACACAAAATTCACATTTTTTAATGATAAACTTGTAGTTAATCATGATCGGTTTAATTAATTAATTCATTATTTCTGTTTATTTTTAAGAGAAAGTGTTCAGTCACCATACATTCGACAACTTCTTGTGGACGGCAAACTGCAGCTGTGATCGAAACGGAATTCGTAAATCTTTTTTTCTGATATCTCATTCAGTACTTTTTTCAAACCTTGTACAAACTGAAAATAAATTCTTCCGTCTATTGTTGAACAATTGGTCATATGATTATTTAAAAATCGGGAGTTTTACTGGTTTTAATGACTAATTTGATTTACTCGGACTCGGGGTAGCGGAGTGGTCAAGATTTCTGACGTCATCAACGCTAGTCCTGGGTCGCGGTTCGAGACCTACGTGGGACAGTCCCCAGGTGCTGGCTGTAGGTTGGTGTTTTTTCTCCGAAAAGTTTGGCTTCTTTCTTCCGGAACCTGGCAACTTTGTAAATTACCGCTCCTGTTAATAGGTCGTAAAGCAACAATAAACCAGACTGCAACTACAAAGCAAGAATTTTACGGAACTTAGTGCAACTGCCGTTCCTATTCTTTTTTATACAAAAGAAAAAAAAAGAAAAAAAACAAACAAACAAAAAATCCCATGTCATAACAAATTAATCAAACACCAGTTTTCATTATTTCTAAGTTACTAAACTTGTGTCATTTTAACTGGGAAATTATTGCAAGAGTAACAACAAAGTCTCAAACTCAGCAGTTATTTCATGTTTTTACCTAAAATCTTAATACAAATACTCAAATAATACATCGAGAATGGAGTTATGCCCAACATTATCCTGCTTAAAAATGAAATAAAGTGTTAAGTCGAAGTCCTCAAACACACTATATTGAATTTGTTTGTTATCCGAGCAGATTTCGATGTGGAACAAATGTTAGGGTCAATATTTTGTGTTTTTATACTTGCTCTTATTCCTCATTTGAAAAATTCAGGAAGAAATCAGTGAAATAAGAAATAAAAGACTTCCTCTAGAAAATCTAATAATGATGATAGATAAAAACCCCAGTGACAATAACACTAAGCCACACTATAGATACTCTGTCATACGCGTGAAATATACACGATATTAAACGGGAAACCATTAAATAGTCTCTGTTTATTGTGAATGTCACTAAATCGCACTCGTGAAACTATAGATACTCTGTCATACGCGTGAAATATACACGATATTAAACGGGAAACCATTAAATAGTCTCTGTTTATTGTGAATGTCACTAAATCACACTATAGATGTTCTGTCATACGCGAGAAATATACACGATATTAAGCGGGAAACCATTAAATAGTCTCTGTTTATTGTGAATGTCACTAAATCGCACTCGTGAAACTATAGATGCTCTGTCATACGCGTGAAATATACACGATATTAAACGGGAAACCATTAAATAGTCTGTGTTTATTGTGAATGTCACTAAATCGCACTCGTGAAACTATAGATGCTCTGTCATACGCGTGAAATATACACGATATTAAACGGGAAACCATTAAATAGTCTGTGTTTATTGTGAATGTCACTAAATCGCACTCGTGAAACTATAGATACTCTGTCATACGCGTGAAATATACACGATATTAAACGGGAAACCATTAAATAGTCTCTGTTTATTGTGAATGTCACTAAATCGCACTCGTGAAACTATAGATGCTCTGTCATACGCGTGAAATATACACGATATTAAACGGGAAACCATTAAATAGTCTGTGTTTATTGTGAATGTCACTAAATCGCACTCGTGAAACTATAGATACTCTGTCATACGCGTGAAATATACACGATATTAAACGGGAAACCATTAAATAGTCTGTGTTTATTGTGAATGTCACTAAATCGCACTCGTGAAACTATAGATGCTCTGTCATACGCGTGAAATATACACGATATTAAACGGGAAACCATTAAATAGTCTGTGTTTATTGTGAATGTCACTAAATCGCACTCGTGAAACTATAGATGCTCTGTCATACGCGTGAAATATACACGATATTAAACGGGAAACCATTAAATAGTCTGTGTTTATTGTGAATGTCACTAAATCGCACTCGTGAAACTATAGATGCTCTGTCATACGCGTGAAATATACACGATATTAAACGGGAAACCATTAAATAGTCTGTGTTTATTGTGAATGTCACTAAATCGCACTCGTGAAACTATAGATACTCTGTCATACGCGTGAAATATACACGATATTAAACGGGAAACCATTAAATAGTCTCTGTTTATTGTGAATGTCACTAAATCGCACTCGTGAAACTATAGATGCTCTGTCATACGCGTGAAATATACACGATATTAAACGGGAAACCATTAAATAGTCTGTGTTTATTGTGAATGTCACTAAATCGCACTCGTGAAACTATAGATGCTCTGTCATACGCGTGAAATATACACGATATTAAACGGGAAACCATTAAATAGTCTCTGTTTATTGTGAATGTCACTAAATCGCACTCGTGAAACTATAGATACTCTGTCATACGCGTGAAATATACACGATATTAAACGGGAAACCATTAAATAGTCTGTGTTTATTGTGAATGTCACTAAATCGCACTCGTGAAACTATAGATACTCTGTCATACGCGTGAAATATACACGATATTAAACGGGAAACCATTAAATAGTCTCTGTTTATTGTGAATGTCACTAAATCACACTGTAGATACTCTGTCATACGCGTGAAATATACACGATATTAAACGGGAAACCGTTAAATAGTCTCTGTTTATTGTGAATGTCACTAAATCGCACTCGTGAAACTATAGATACTCTGTCATACGCGTGAAATATACACGATATTAAACGGGAAACCATTAAATAGTCTGTGTTTATTGTGAATGTCACTAAATCGCACTCGTGAAACTATAGATACTCTGTCATACGCGTGAAATATACACGATATTAAACGGGAAACCATTAAATAGTCTGTGTTTATTGTGAATGTCACTAAATCGCACTCGTGAAACTATAGATACTCTGTCATACGCGTGAAATATACACGATATTAAACGGGAAACCATTAAATAGTCTGTGTTTATTGTGAATGTCACTAAATCGCACTCGTAAACTATAGATACTCTGTCATACGCGTGAAATATACACGATATTAAACGGGAAACCATTAAATAGTCTCTGTTTATTGTGAATGTCACTAAATCGCACTCGTGAAACTATAGATAATCTGTCATACGCGTGAAATATACACGATATTAAACGGGAAACCATTAAATAGTCTCTGTTTATTGTGAATGTCACTAAATCACACTATAGATGTTCTGTCATACGCGAGAAATATACACGATATTAAGCGGGAAACCATTAAATAGTCTCTGTTTATTGTGAATGTCACTAAATCGCACTCGTGAAACTATAGATACTCTGTCATACGCGTAAAATATACACGATATTAAACGGGAAACCATTAAATAGTCTGTGTTTATTGTGAATGACACTAAATCGCACTCGTGAAACTATAGATACTCTGTCATACGCGTGAAATATACACGATATTAAACGGGAAACCATTAAATAGTCTCTGTTTATTGTGGTGATTTTTACCTATTTTTTATGAGTAAATGACCTGCATGCGAAAACTTTTACTTACTGTGAATTCTAAGGTTGAGGAATCTGTAGTGATACCATGTTACTTTTTAAGGACCGCAGTCAAATTAAATACGGAACACTAGTTCGTCTTTACATAGATAGTTCGAATAGAAGAACATTTAGCATTTTTTCATTCCCTCACTTCATTTTCTACAATAAATGTTGGTAATGGAGCGAGAGTTAGGATCCGAGTTTAAATTAGATTGAGGAGCCATCTGTCAGACGTCTCAAAGCACAGGATTTCGCGAGATGAGTTTGATGAAGATCATGAGGAAATTTAACGATCGTGATAATGATCTCATATGAAAATATTATTTTTCCTGGTACAATCTGAAGTTTGGCGTACTCGATCGTTTGTCTAGTGATTCAGTCTTTGTGTGCTGTGATCACATCTGGGAACGTGACATTACTTACTTGAATTTATAAAGATTTTCCTGGCAGGTGTCATTGAAGCTGCAGACGCTTAACATTCCAGAACCCCTGGTTTTATTCTCCTGATACTTTTTCAAGATTTTCAGTCTTAATCTTTCTTTTGTTAAAATCTAAAACATTTTTCAGCGATTATGAGTTTGAATCAAGAATATGTTGACATGTCGGTAATTGTTTTTTTGTTTACAAAATTAAACGAAAAATAAATGAAGTGATATCTTACTATTGAGCTATAACAGTTTAAAGTAATCAAAATCCAACTTTGTCATCAGTTAGCTATCCCACTTTTCCAATTAATCTCAAGATTAAACGAGGGGTTCACAATCTGAGAGAGATCATCTAGCATGCCTCAAGAATACATCCATTACCATCATCCACAGTTGAAACCCATGATGGTCCTTTTGCCATTTTTTCAATCACCATTAGAGATCAAGGGAAAACGACAGGATAAATCTTTGAAACATCTTCAATCCTTTGTTTATGAATGGGAACACAGACGAAAGGTGGTCTGAACAGTATATTTTGATTGAATTGATAAAAAAAAAAAAAAAAAAACATAAAAAAAACCCAAAAAATCCAGCACATATACCATAAAAGTTTATTGGGGGCAACAACAGTTGAAAGGTAACATTACCAAACACTTACAATGAAATTATTATTTCACATTTAAAATTAAGTTATATCCATGTATATACAAATGTATACATAAAATATGCCTTTTCGCAATTATAATTGAGAAACTAAGCACTTAAATTACTGTCTCACACCATTCTATGTTACATCCTTTAAAGGGAAACAACAGTATGTATTCCAAATCCAATATTTAATGTTAATAATATTTGCTAGCAAAAAATGGAATGGAATTTCAAATATTCTTCATATATGTAATGCTGTCTAAATAGAAATACAGAACGAGGTTTATGAAATAACTTTGATATTTCCACAAGGACTTGGCATGAATTCCCAACACATGGTCCATATAAAGCGAATTTGTGGAAGGCTCTGTGTGTTTGTATGCCAATGAAAAGAGAATACAAGCTGTATTTTGGCGAGGGTTAAGAAAGACAAAACTGACGAGCCTCTGATGAGCACCCTTTGTCTTTCTGTCCCTTTAAGTGAATGTATGAAATACAATATTAATCCTGCAACTGGCACCGCTATTGTCGGAATACACATGCCTCATATATTTTCCCTGTGATGGAAAACGGTTAGCACGTGTGTGAATTCGAAGAGAAATTTCTGAATTTACGTTTAACAATATAAAAATACTTATGACATAAGCGATTTTATATGATGTAATGAACAAGTTTATTTACAAAAAATCATAAAGTCATTGCCATATCCGTTGAAGTTTGGGACTATATTTCTGCGCGAACAATTATTTTGGCTTACGTCATCAGGCAAACTTCAATGTACCGTCAAAGTCAGGTAAACAAAGATTGAAAAAATAGTTCGAGTTTTGTTGGTCAGATTTGCAACAAATGTTGCAGGATAAACAGAATACATGGTCAGTGTCTTAAAATATATCAACTGCATTTTGGCTCGCGACAGAAAGACCTTTAAGACACTGACCATGTATTCTCTATGAACTAGATTGCTAATAAATGAAATTTAACTCTATGACGTTGTTTGCTGGGTTTATTGACAATATACAGTCAATTGGGGGTAAATTGTATAACTTTTAATGAAACCTAATTCCCCAATTTATACTTGGCCACCTTACCAAGAGGAATGGAGGTAAGTATATGGTAATTAAAAAAAATTACTCCTAACCACGCCCCCTCTTCCCCCCACCCGCCAACCACACCCCCCTCCCTCCCCCCATGTATAGGGCATTTATAATAACGGCGAAACAATGCATACACAGAAAAAAAGAATCGTCTTGGCTCAAAAAGTTATTCTTGAAAATTTAGATATACTTTTAGATAGATATGAAAAATATAGGGTAAGTTGTGATAATGAAATGCAGTGAAATATAAGGTTTTACAGTGAAAATGTCAGTGATATCTCAACTCAGTTTTGACATTTTCACTCATTATTGGCCAATCAGATCACAGCATTTGCAGTGAAATATCAGTTCTCCCAGAATGCATTGTGAACTTCAGGAATGATAACTCTGATAAGAAATATAAGCCGGTGAAATGGAACTCTTGCTTTGCTATCGTGTATTGATAGTGGTCAATCTTAATTTCATAAGAGTACAGCTATTTCATGTGTTGTAGTTATTTTATGCTATGTCATTTAATATTTGTCTTGGATGTAAAACTGCATTTATATAATATCCAGAAACATGCATATCAGATATATACATTGTGGCAAATTCAAACTGATCTGAAAAAATGTACTGTTAGAATAATTTGTTTCTTGATAAATTACAGACATCTTTTTCTTTATCGATTGAGATGGAAAATTTGATAATCTGAATGCTCTCTGTGCATCTTTTAAAAGTCCTTATACTTTTTCATTTTTTTTTTCATTTTTTTTAAAAAAATAAAATTGATGTACATTATCATGTTGTACAGGGGAGAGATAATGCTGTTTTAACTTTACAATAAAGAAATGAGTATGACAGTACAGTACCTGATTAAATGGCAGAAGAATGATGCTGTTAATGTTGATGATATTGTGTACAATATAGATAACTGAAGTGAGTAAATTGTAACATTAAATATGAATCATTTAAAATTTGAGAATATAAATAGAAAATGTTATATTCCAGAAATTCCATGAGAAAAATGAGACGTGTTTTACATAGATGTTACCTTTCAATAACCAATATACACATCAAGTATGGCTTGATAACAAATGAAAATATCAACATTCAACTTCAAAAGATCTTAATGAATTTTGAAAACATTGTTTAAACATCTAAAACGAGTGGTGATGTATATGCATGTATGTGGTTTGGCCTGGTACTTATATAATTTCATATTGAGATGAAAACAGAAAAAAATTCCAGCTGTGGATTCAAACTTAGAATCTAGGGACCAATTTTTATATGACCTAAGTGAACAAGCGGGACACGGTCAGTTTACAGTTATCAGACCATGACCACCTATATATAATAGTTGTTACTACATTAACACATCAATCATCAAAGTTACGTTACAGATTGCGAAGCTGTACCTACATATAAACTATACATACATATGTTGATTGATATTATTCGTCAGTTTTCAGAACATTAATCTGAAAAGTTTTGCTACGTAATTTTAAAGTAATCAAATTTCAATTTGAAAATAACATTTACAAAATGAGATAATGAAGAAGTTTACACACTTCTTCATATTTATTCACACTTACAGTATATAAATACTTAATTGGATTAATCTATAAATACATCGGAAGTATAAGCACATTTTTAAATATATAGATTTAAACACCAAATTCAATATGCCCTAATATTCAATCACATGGTTCCACTGGATGAGTAAGAATGTGTTTATCAAGATTTATCTTCTGTACAAAAGCTTTACCACATATATAACACTCATAACGTTTGTCATCGTAGTGAATTCTCATGTGGACCGTCAGATTCCAACCCCGTCCAAATGCTTTACCACAGAGTTCACAGATGAATGAACGTTCACCCAGGTGGGACTTGGCATGACGTCTCATGCAACTGCTATCACTGAAACTTTTTCCGCATGTCTCACAGCTGTATGGTCGCTCTCCTGTGTGTGACCGGATGTGACTTTCTAAGTAAGCTTTCTGTGTGTAACCTTTACCACAGAATGAACAGATGTGTGGTTTCTCCTCTGCATGACAGAGCATGTGTGATTTTAAACTCCAGCTCTGTGTGAAAGCCATTTCACAAACCTCACATTTAAATGGTTTGATACCAGAGTGAATTCGTAAATGTCGACGGTAATGACTTTTATCAGCAAATCCCTTTCCACATATTTCGCACAGAAAAGCTTTTTCCCCAGTGTGAGAACGGACATGTGTGTAGAGACTTGCAGCCCGTGTGAATGTTTTCTCACAAAATTCACACTTGAAAGGTCTGTCACCAGTGTGAGTTTTTAGATGTGATAACATATTGCCAGAAAATTTCAGTTTTTTACCACAAATCTTACACTCCTTAAACTTGTCATCAACATGGATCTTTATGTGGTGTCGCCATGTTGATCTTCTAGTGAAAGTCTTCGAACATGTATCACAGTTAAAGATCTTTTCTTTGGAGTTGTTGCTTTCTGTCGTTTTTGATTTCAATTTCTTTTTTTCCTGACAACTTTTTATCAACCTTTCTAATACAAATTTGTCCACTTGCCCTATTTCTTTCTGTTCTGATTCTTCTTCTTTGGTATCAGACTCTCCAAGATCATCAGCTGCACTCCTTTCATTTTCATATTTTCTTTGGCTATCGGAGGATTTTTTCTGTTCCATTTCACTGACAGATACAAGTCTTAAAGAACTGCAAAAGCTTTCCTGATCCTGATCGCTTGTAGTAGCATCAGTGTCACTGAGATGTTTTGAAGATATTTGATCATTCATGCCACTCTTTGACAAGTTTTGACGGACTAGTGTAGCATGCATGGAGTAATCAAGAGGAACATTTTCTTCAGCATCATTGATATTCTCATAATCGCAGTCATTACTTGTAGTTGCTTTTTCTATGCAGCATTTCTCTTCCTGAATACCAGCCTCTCCTAATGTACCAGTACTATCATTTCTTCCACACAAGTCTTGCACTTCAAATTTTCTTTTTTTAAATGTCATTTTGATGGGAGATTTCATTTTCTGCGATGCCTTCATTCTCCCTGATTTCACATGCTGTGACCCTGAGAGGTCGAAATGTGACCCTGACAGTTTACTTACTTGCATTTCCACTTTCCGTTTCTTTGTGATGTAAATGTTTGGTTCAACATCCATGTCTTTACCGCTTTTCATCTGTGAAATATCTTCATCTGAATAATTATTAAAATCACAAGCTTCATCAGAGTTATCTTTCTTTTTCTGGTCTAACACATCAGAAACTGGAGTACTTCTCACCATTTCACCACCAGGAAAATACTTATTATCTCCCTTGCAAAAATTTGAGTCACCTAATGTCCCACTTAATTTTGAAATTGTCTGCTTTGTGTCACTTCCAACATTTTTATCATCACATTGAAATTCATTCTTTTTCTTTTGAATAAAATTGAAATGCATTTCAGTTTCAGACTGAAGATCATTTTCAAACTGAACAACAATATTCTCTGAAGAGTTTGAAGTCCCAGGAGCTGGTTCTGACTGATCCTTTTCTCCCCTTGAAAGATTCAACACAACAATTTCGTCATTGTAATTCCATGGATAATAAGTTACATGTCCGTCACTTACATCCTCTTCCTCTCTAACGAACCCTTGAGAATTGTTAACAATCTTAGAAAAAATATCACTGTCCTTAAAAGATTTTGTATGGTTGCCATGTCGATGTAAGTTTCCTGTGTCCGTTTTTGTTGTACCTAAATCTGTTCCTTTTGTTTCTTGGTTTCTCTGCATTTCCGAAACCAAAAGAAAATTGTCGTTTTGTAAGAATTGAACATTTTGAGAGGATTTTGTAATTAGATATTCACTTGTTAAGTCCTGACCCTGAGATAATGTACTATTGGTGGTGAGCTCGCTCGCATCGCTCCATTCCTGTTTCAAATTGTTATCAGTATCTTCTGTGTTTTGTTTGTCAATCTGGTTCAAATTTATAACTTGTGTTTGATTCCTTTCTGCCATCAAGGAAAAATCCAGATAGGCCTCCATTTCATCTTTATCCATGGTTTTCATAGAAGCTTTAATCTCCACGACCAGCAGCAAAAAATGCAGAAAGCATTGCATTCAAGTTGCTCTGATCACTGATTAATATCATAGATGGTTATAAAACATCTGTCTTTTTTCAGTTGTCACGTCTTTGATCATCATCATCATCCTCTTTAAACCTTGCTTGACACATAAGCTTTTATATTCTGAAGAATTCAATATGGCAGGGTGGAATACAATATGACAGCAGGTCTTCTGAGGTCTTATCCATTAGCTGAAAGAGAATCATAAAAGTTATGAATTAAAACAAAACTTCTATAAAACATATTCTCCTATCAAAATCCTCAATGCAACCACTGGATATGTTTTTTGCAGGTATATCAAATTACTACATTACTTCGGGTAAAGTATGTGATGAAGAGAGCCTATTGATATGTGCCAAAATTTTGGTTACACATTCAACTTGAGGTAATCGTATCTATATTGAGGAGCTGGACTATGAAGAATCTCACTGGACATGTACATATCATAGGTTTTCTTAAGATAATTTCACTGAAAATGTTTGAGATTGAAACTGATTGTATCATGACTCTGACTAACAACAGCAGTGAGACTGCCAGTTACCACAGATAATGATGCTGATAGTATGAAGTGGAAAAACCTTGTGGTGCAATATACAAATAGAGTGTGATATATTGTTTCATTGAAAATCTGGAAATTTTATTGTAAAATAAGCTGAAGTTATATCAAATACACGTACTATGAAAGTATGAATTTTATAATTTTCTAGAATGATCATATGATTAACACCAATTCACAGTCTTGATTGGAGGAGCAATGTCATGTGACAAGCCTGTAAAAAAAATGTGTTACAGACTGCTACTAAAAATAGGCATTGGTAATTTCCCATCCATTGACGCAAAATCAATAAAAAATCTGCATAATTGGAAATCTTGACTGTGAGGTGCTACATGTTTACATCAGCAACACTGAAAATATTCAGTAATGTACTAGATCAACTCTGTTAAATCAAGAGATGTCAATAACATACATAACTCAATGTGTTTCCAATTTTAACCAACTGTAGTAATTGTACCATTAAATTTCAAAATAAAATAGTAGTCACATTTATATTTGAAATTGACTTAATATGGATTTAGATTTATTTGTATCTGAAATACTATGTTCAGTAATTTAGAAATGAACCTTGCCATATCATGACATGAAAAAAAATGACAGACCTCATTGCAAACTGTTTTATAATAAATTTTTTGTGGTCTTCAGTTTTGGTCAATCCCCGATTTAAAGACCTGATCTGAGCAATATTCACCAAAATCCGATAGAGCTTGTCTGAAATCCATAATTGTGTAATGTCAGCTTGAATCACAAATTTCAACCAAAGTTACATCTTTGCAGATTAAACTTGGTCTTTTTATTGGTTATACATACATATAGCTAGTTTATTGAAATAATTCCCAAGTTCATAAATTCAAGTTTATAACAAGTTTCTGAACCCCATGCATCTAGGGACTCTACCTTCATCAGTTAAAAAACCAGATGACTAACTAATGATTTGGCAGAGTAGAAAGTTATGTTGATGATCTAAATGAATAACAAGAGGCCCATGGGCCTTAACGGTCATCTGACATAAAACACAAGATTTCAAATTTTGAACTTGAGAAGAAGTCGAAAATGTGTTTTCAAGATGGCGGCCATTGTGACCATGTTGGATTTCAGACCAACCCAAAATGAACAAACTTTGGTCAGGATCATTTCAGGTAAGTTTCAGCTCAATGAGACATGTAGAACTTGAGAAGAAGTTAAAAATGTTTACAACGCCAGACAAAAGGTGATCGCAACAGATCATCAAACCCTTCGGTCAGATGGCCTAAAAATGTTCAGTTCTAATGCATTGTCTTAAATATTTTGATGTTTGAACTTCTGAACATTCAACAGTTGTTTATCCGTGTATCTGTGGCATGTATTGATTAATTCATATGTGTAATTAACTATTAAAGCTTTAAACAGGTTGGCTACAACCCCGTATATAGTTTATAATCCTGCATTTGTGGGATACTTACTGATTCAATTAATTAATTAGCCAAATGTAGGATCATTTCAAATAAAAAACACAAAGTAATTTACATCTTTGTAACAAAAATGGGCATCATCTGTATATACATTTGTATTTGCATAAGACAAATCCATTTCTGTTACATAACTTTGTGTTAACATGACAATTTGACACTAAATTCTTCATTGCACTATATAGTGGTGTATTACCATTCTGAGAATTTAGAGCAAAAACATCACAGACAAGCATGAATTTACCTGTGTACTAATTTTAGCCACAACATAAGCAATGGAGATGATAAAGTTTTTCCCCTATACTAAGATCGAATCAACTAAATTATCTATTTAAAAGAACTTAACATTTTTTTTTCAAACGATCCTGCATTTGGTGAGTTATGGTTACTTTCTTAAAAGTTTTGAAATATACTTGTTGTCCAGACAATTGTATGGACCTTATTCTGATGTAAAATAGTTTGTGTTAGGCATTCAGTGTGTGGGCGAGCTTTATCCTGCTGGTATAATATGGACATATGTCGAGGCATAAACTACTACAGGAATCAAGTCACAATTTAATCACAGTACCACCATGTAGAAAGTGTTTTCTGTACTGCCTCTAAATCAGTCTTTCATCTCCAACTGATCCCTCCACACACCATCTCACTTCCACCACCATACCAATCGTGTTGGATAATATTACCAGTGTCTTATCACTCCTGACGTCATCTCTATACACATCTTCTTCAGACAGCGCCATGGAAATTGACTCGTCAGTAAAAACAACTTCATTCTATTGTCACTGAATTCATCGAAGATGTGTTGCAGCCCAACTGACACGTCTAATGTGGAAACTTCTGGTGTGATGATTCAGCCCAGTTCAACAAGAAACACAGAGCTATCTAGCTATGTGAAGTTTATCAGTATTTTTGATGCATATAGGAAAATATGACATCTTGAAATTGGTACAATAAAACAGTCCTGACATACCTTCATTCATCTAGGTCTTCTAAATCGAGGATGGTCAGAAACAAATCTGGTCATCTGATAACAGGTCTCCAGTCATGATATTGTTGAAAGGTGAACAGTGAAAAACATCTCTATTGCACTTAACAGCATACAACATCCCTATACAAATGTAGCTGTATGATATCTTGATGTCAACCCATTTGCCCTTTAGTTGAACTTTCAACAGTTTTTGTTGTGCAAACCTTCTCTGATAAATTTGCATACCTCTACATATATCAAAATTGTGTGAAGCAATGTGAAAAGTGCTATGTGGCAGAAATGTCAGAATATATGTGCATATGATCCTGGTGTGCTATTTTATCAAATCTACAATAGACTATCACTATATTCATACATCAAATAAACAAAAATGTATTTGACGCAATAAATATTGAATGGAAAAAAATTAGCGAACTTTTTTGCTGAGTATATAGGAACACATAACATTCTTTTAAAAAATAATTTTTTTTTTTTTTTTTAAAAAGTGCCATCTTTTTAACATAATCAAATAGCCAAAGTGACAATATTTACAACTACTTAAGAAGTTATCCTTTCTGTTGTGATAAAATGACATTTTATATCACTGACTTTGTTCTCCATTGACTACAATGTATTGCCAGTGGTAGCATTAAGTGCAAATGTCACAGGCGTGCATAAATTTACCTGTGTCCTATTTTAAGCCACATTATAAACTGAAGATAAACATTTCAGGTGAAAACAGTTTGCCTTTCTTACAAAAAATGAGGCAACTGAATTATTCAATTTTGTGTAAAAATTAACAATGTTCCATCGGTTATTATGCCATAGGAGATATAAAGTCCTCTTAATTGCAAATGTTTAAAAGAACTTCACTTACTTCTATTTAAAAATGGTCCGTAATTTAAGCAAGTATTTGGTTACTCGAACAACACTATCCCTCAATGCAGGACTATAATGCGGGACATTGTGTCCAACATGTCAAATTAAACACCTTTGACTTTCCTCCATTTCCCGACATAAAATTGATACGCAGCTGTTATAAGGTAATGTATGAAATCGTTTCCACATCACCAGCTCCGAGATCACAGATTCTTGCAGTAAAAATTCTGAACTTGCAGGTCAAGTACCTGTCAGATTGTCAAACTGGAAAATTATGGTTGCAGTCTGGTGACGTGCGAATTTTTTAACATATCCTGTACACTGATGTCATTCAATACCATACATTGTTATATATAAATAATTCTAAACATTCGACATGGAATACCTACATATTGCGAACTGATTCATTTCCTGACGAGAAATATATTCCTGCTCTGATTCTTTGTCAGTTTCATATTATCCCTCAGGCGTCAAATGCCGGAAATTATCCCATCGTTCTAATTTACGATTTCACGATTAAAGCTATCCGGAAATGTCCTCTTTTCCTATGTAGTGAGTTCAGATCGGTGCGTAAATTTGACTATTTCATAATGACAGAATATAGAGAAGTAAATTATCGTATCCTTAAAGCAGAATTTCTACTAAGAAAAATAAACGATCACTTCTGATAATTACCTGTTTTCCGGAAATTATTTCTCCTCCATCTGCTAGTTTTCACCATAATCGGGTTCTCTAAAACGTTTGTTTCTGAAAACGTGTTCAAGAGAATAATGTTTACGTGAAGATGATCGTGTAGTTGATTGATGCCACTGCCGAGTCATATCTGATTTTTGTTAATTGTTGGAGGAGAGAGATTCTGGTAACATGTTGATGTAAGTTCAGTAAGCAATTGTGGATCAGTTATGATGTTCCATACAGATGGATGCATAGTACTTGACGTGAGGTTAACAGAATCTCCATTAAATGCTCTATATATCCTCCTATTAAATATCTTTATACTAATCTAACCATCATACCAGTAGATATCAATGCATTTATTAGACCTGTTATAAATTTGCTACAGTACTGTATATATGATGAAACGAATCACGGAATTCTACAGATAAAACCGATCAGAAGACATACATGTAAGTAAACCATAAAATTTCTACTTGAGGACATATGAGGTGATTTGAAGGGAAACGACAAATTTCGCCAGGATGGTCGGCTATATGTCTACCTGTGTTTGTGGGCTAGATGTCAAGATGAGGGGTGAAGCTTGGCTGGATTAAACTGTGGCTGCCAGCTGGCTTTGTCTGATCCTGGGCCTTGTCACCAGTGTTGAAAACGGTGACCGTTTTTTTGATGATGTTAATGGTGAATCTGTCCTTCCTGGAGAAAATACTATCAATATCTAGACCTGCCTTGAGATCTATAGGTTCATTTGTCAGGAGCATGATCTCATCATTATTAGTTTCTGTTGAGACACATTTTTGTCCCAATAGCACTTTTACACAGCAGGCAGTTTTAGAGAGAGCTTATGGCTCCATTCCACCCTTTAATTGCTATCAAAATGAGGCCATAAAATTGACTTAGCTGATGCTCCCTTCATATTTGATCTCTTTTCTCTCTTATGCTCTTTCTCTATTTCCAGTTATCCTCTCTCCAATACCAGTGACATTTTCCAGTATGGTATAGTTGTAAGTGTTGGCATGGTCTGTGATGTCAGATTTATTGTTTTCTTTTTCTTATGAAACATCAACCGTCCCTGAGACTGTCTGCAGTAGAAGAGTGCTATTGTGAAAAAAACACATCCTCACAATTTGACAGCTGACTTCACACTGTTTTCAAAATAGCAAACTGTCATTAAGACTCCGTCATTTTGCATTTTTTTCTTGATACAGGAAAGAGAAAACAATATTGAAGAACCAACACTCTATGTCTCAGATTGCGGTTAGGTTCCCAATGAATACCAGAGAATCCTTTATTTTGGCTTTATGTTTACCACATTGTAAGGAGCTCTACAGAGAAAATAAGTGTTCCTGGATGTTGAAAATCCTTTATTTTCGCTTTATGTTGATACAGGAAAGAAGCATTTTTAAAATCTCACAAAATTACAATTTTCAATCGCTGTTTGTACCAAAGATAAACGCTTTTAGACATATCTGTACAAAATTGATGAATCTAATTCCAAATGTCCTACATGTTATGTTGTAGATATACCCATTACTGAGGATGTCATTAAATGTTCCTGGCTTGGTTCTCTTTGTTTTCTACATGTTATGTTGTAGATATACCCATCACTGAGGATGTCATTAAATGTTCCTGGCTTGGTTCTCCTTGTTTTCTACATGTTATGTTATAGATATACCCATCACTGAGGATGTCATTAAATGTTCCTGGCTTGGTCGTTCTCCGAGTTTTCTACATGTTATGTTGTAGATATACCCATCACTGAGGATGTCATTAAATGTTCCTGGCTTGGTTCTCCTAGTTTTCTACATGTTATGTTGTAGCTATACCCATCACTGAGGATGTCATTAAATGTTCCTGGCTTGGTTGTTCTCCTAGTTTTCTACATGTTATGTTGTAGATATACCCATCACTGAGGATGTCATTAAATGTTCCTGGCTTGGTTCTCCTTGTTTTCTACATGTTATGTTGTAGATATACCCATCACTGAGGATGTCATTAAATGTTCCTGGCTTGGTTCTCCTTGTTTTCTACATGTTATGTTGTAGCTATACCCATCACTGAGGATGTCATTAAATGTTCCTGGCTTGGTTCTCCTAGTTTTCTACATGTTATGTTGTAGATATACCCATCACTGAGGATGTCATTAAATGTTCCTGGCTTGGTCGTTCTCCTAGTTTTCTACATAATCATACTGGTAGTAGGAATTTATGCTGCCAGGAGAAGGAAGCAGACAAATGGAGAACCTGATACACTGGAATCCTCCATAGTAGCAGGGCGCAGTATAGGATCTGTGGTTGGGGTTTTTACAATGACAGGTACGGAACTGACTGTAGGATTTAAATTTAATTATAATTATAATAAATGGCATTAAATACATACTTAATGTACATTATTTTTTAAAATTTTGTTTGAAGTAAAATATGGTTTGTACATATATGTCTGGTAGCTGATAGTCTTCTCTGGTGTATTAACAGGTCCCTTTATGTACAGATCCTGATGCGTAATATACTGGTAGATATTAATGGGGAATGTGAACTCAATAAAAGGTTATCATAATTCATGTATATCTATAACTAGACTTCTTTTGTACCATTTCTAAATGATATCATGCAACAAGACAATCATAATTTTTAACCCACCATCAGATGTACGGCTATTCAAGTTGCCATGTGTCTGATGTCAGCTGTTCTTACATAGAGAAAAAAAACAAAGTTGGGTGAAAGATCCCTCTGGGATATCTTAGGATTGCTTTTTATGTTGTCATAAACCTTGATTCCAATTCAAGAAGATTGTTGTGAAAATTTTAGTTTTCTAATTGGAATTCATATATATAAATTATTTCAAACTTTTAATTGAAAGAAATTCAGTTTCATTTGTATTAGGTATGATTAGCCTATAAAAATCTTTTTTAAGAAATCAAGAAATCAAACATTTTTGGAATATTTTGGCAGAAATAAGTGACTGTATAGATGAGTAACATGTATGATAATGCCAAATGAGTGATAACTCCTCGAACAATAGTGAACCGGGGAAGTAACTCATATATTAGTATTTGCAATGTTAAAATATACTTTACTTATGAAAAATGACATTTAAGGAGCAACATTGTTTCAAAACCAGAAAATGATTTTGTATTATGACGGACCATCATTTTGTGAAGTGTCTATGTAAATTTGTTATTATCTTTCACAGCTACTACTGTGGGAGGAGGCTACATAAATGGAACAGCTGAATCCATAGCAACCGGAGGTCTTGTTTGGACCCTTGCTCCATTTGGAATATTTTTGGGACTGAGTATTGGTAAACATGTAACTAATTGTCTGTGGATTATCAAAAGTTTTATTTGCGAAATTTTTAAAATGTTTGAACAAAAATACTTGTATTTTGAGCATAAATACTGTGTACTTATTTATGTGCATGTAGGTGGTTAAGCCACATAATAGCTGGTGGTTTTCTAATTGAACAACATACAGGAGGCCCTTCGCTTTCCTGTGGACAAAACGGTGACAACTTTTGCTTTTCAGCTCCCTTCTGTTAAAGTTAGGAAGTTTAAATTTCAAACCTCAGATCTTCATCAAACGTTCCATAGAGTATCAATCTACTGTCTGAGCTAATTGCACCTGCTCTCTCACTTTTCCGTAAAAGAAAAATGAATAAAAAGATGAAGACAAAAAAATATAAGCCTCCCATTTAAACAGACAGCTTGGACAAGTGTACTTTAATGTTATTGAAGGTGTTAACTGTCTAGTACCTTTTTAAACTACACAGAAAAGGTAACTTAAGTTGAAGATAATCTCAAGTTCATCAGTATAAGCAGCATTGTCATTTAGCAGCCTCAATGTAAATGTACCGGTATGTCTGGTAGATAAATATCTAAATATGTTGGGTAAATGTTTGTTTTTTTTTTGGCAGGTGGTATGACCTTTGCCAAAAGAATGCGAGATCAAAGCTACTTGACAATGCTTGATCCATTCCAGGAAGTCTATGGCAGCCAAGTGGTATTTTTGGTCTACCTAGCCTCTATATGGGGCGACCTGTTCTGGACAGCATCAATACTTTCAGCTCTAGGTACAGAAAGATATTGTTAACTTAATCTAGAATATCACACAAAAATGTTGTTCTATTGAAATAGATGGCCTTAGCAAAGAAACACTTAAATTGATACATAACATATATATATTAACTTAAAACATGGTAACTTTTGAGAAAACTTTATTTTTCTCCAAAATTTCACAGGTTATCTCCCTTTTTCTGACACTATCTACCATCAACATATGAATGTCATATATGTGTTGTTCATATTGTTTCATAAAGATCTTTAAATTTCTTTTGAAGTCATGAAGTGTGTTGTATTCACAGAATAGGGGTAGTTAAGAATATCTTCCCAATTTAAAATATAAATTAGGTATGTTTTCCTAATTTTTATTCAGGAAGAGACTACTGTGAAGTGTAAAACCTTAAAAAGACCAGGATCTAGACGCAAGGTCATGGCCATGATGTAGTTGGTCACTGACATGCTGTAATTCTTATATTGTTACTAAATTGATTAACTTATATTCAAACATCAAAGAGTAAAATTTGTCAAAACTGCAAACTTTTTTCCCATAAACCAGAAGTGAAAGCTGATAAAATTATACCAAAACTATGTTTGGGAATGAGTTGCCAGGTCTTTTTAAAGGAATGACCATGCCCCATATCAAAGTCACAAGTGTCAATTTAGTTTAAACTTTTAAATAACATTTTATACTTATTACGATTGGGTCATTATATTTGCTGGGATGAAAAATTGCAGAACCATAATCTTTCAAAATGGTGTTATCTTCTTTAAGTGCTAAATGATAAACTTTCTGAGGATAATAAAATCTTGATGCATCAAAAGCTGTATAAGTTGCATGTAAAGGATACAGGTCAGTTAGGCCTTTTATTAAACAGGATAGGGTGGTCAGGTGGTACAGTATTAATGCACTTGCATTTTACAAAGGTGTCTGGGGTTCAATTCCCCTAACAGACATGTGAAGGTAAGGTGTAACCTGCCCTATCAAGTGGGTTTTTAATAGGTACTCTAGATTACATCTACTGTAAGATCCCTCACACATTTCAGTCCTGACCAGCATTCATTATTAGTATAAGTTGGAATAACGTGTTTCCCAATTGTTGTAAAAGAAACAAAGATTATGTAGGATATGTCAGACAAACTTTAGCCGTGCTAAGTGTGATAGAAGCTTAAATTATTTTTGTTATTTATAGAATTTTAATTCTAAAGGAAAACATCATATATAACATAACTCTATGGGCATGGTATTTTATTGATAGGTACAAGTCTAAGTGTTATTTTGGATTGGAGCCGTACAATTGCCATAGCAACATCAGCGTCTATCACAGTGGTGTACACCATGATTGGTCAGATGATATCTGTGGCATACACAGATGTTGTACAGCTTATACTCATCACTGGGGGACTGGTGAGTAAAACATATACTCCTCACAGGCTGGCTGGTGAGTACAACTTGTACTCCTCATAGGCTGGCTGGTGAGTACAACTTATACACGCCACTGGGGGCTGGTGTGTACAATGTATACTCTTCATAGGTAGGATGGTGAGTATCACTTCTTTATACTTGCTACTAGGGGCTGGTGAGTATAGTTTATAATATACAAATGTATATAGATGTGTTGGTTACTTCATCTGATGCTTATCACAGAGGGCTGGTGAGTATATTATATATTCGAAGGCTTGTATTCAAATTATTGGAGCCATGGTAGTTCTGACTTAAGTAACCTGCGGTAATTGTCCGAGGTGGGTGAATCTACACTTCCTGCCCATGGTTGTTTATGATTCTCATTAAGCGGAGAAATGGATGTGTCTGTACTGTTGTGCTTGTGTCCTTGGGCAAAATACTGTACCCGAATTGCTCTGGATGTCATGAGCTACCTCTATATCATTCATTGATGTAGTCACTAGTTTCTAAAAGGAAGTCACACTTTGAAATGATCTTTGCTGTGTCACAAGTGATAAACGCAGCAAGCAGACAAACATATATAACATTTAAGGATAAAAAACTGGACTGGTATTTAATTGTTGGTGAGATTTTGTTGATATTTTGTCTAATCTCTTTCAGGTACTTTGTGTTCCGTTTGTGCTGGCCAATGAAAACGTTGGAAATATTGGTAATACTACTAGTGACTGGATTGGTCAGTTTGATACCAGTTCGACAAACCTGTGGATAGACCTGTTTATTGCCATGGTAACCACTTAATGACTTTAATTAGATGAAATGGTCAAGGATTAGTATGATAAGCAATAAATAAGAGTATTTAAATTTCATTTGATTCCAGTACAAACCTGTAGTCTAGTTGTTCTACTTACCCTAACAATATTCTATTTACACCTATTATAATCAAAAACTCAATTTATTTTGAAAGTTTTGACAAATCTTGAAATTTGATACAGTTGTTAAGATATGGGGCTTATGGACACTAGCCTTGTTGTTTGACTTATGGACTGGGAACCCCCAACTTTTTGTGAGTTTAATCATCATAATATTTGTGTTTTATTAATTATTTACAGACGTTTGGAACTATTCCCTGGCAGGCTTATTTCCAGCGAGTGTTGTCAGTTCAGGGTGGAAAAGAAGCTCAGATACTGTCAGTGGTGGGCGGGGCTAGTGCTCTTGTACTTTTCCTTCCCTCTCTCCTGATAGGTGCAGCAGCTGTCAGTGCAGGTTGGTAGCTTTGTATACCTCCTCCAGGAACCAACTGTAAACCAATTATTGGTTGACACATCATATTTTAAGGTTCAGTATCATTATTACTGTATAACATAAAATGTTGGCGGATACATTTTTCGTGGTTTAAGTCTATGACATAATTTCTAGGTTAACAATTTCTGTGGACTTCACATTAACATAAACAATTCCATCACCTGAAGACTTATTCATTATATTTCATTTTTTATTGTTTAATTGTTCATAACCACGGAAACCAGGAACGATTCTACACAACAAGCCTTCATGTATTTAATACTAACAGTATTATACTGAATTTGCTGGAGGAAACTGCTGGAGATTAGTTTCCTCCATTGTAGGGTTTGAATGTTGATCTCAAGTTCATTTGTACTTTACATATGGTTTCATTGAGCAGGTGCTTTCCTACATCACAGCACCTAAATAGTGCCGAGGAAAGAATAGGCCTTCTGTGTCTTGCTGTATAGGTTAAGAGGTGACATATTTGTATCATATGTTGCCGGTCAGACTTGGTTTCTCCGATGTCTCCTATTTAGGGGATGTCGGAGAGTCCACATGTGGTCTTCTGTATTCTACTGTATGGTAATAGGCGTCACCTAAAAATAAGCACCTTGCAGAGTCAGAAGTTTTCGTAGTGTCTTCTGTCAAAGGGACTTAACAAAGGAGACCAAAATCAATCTGGAATCTTTTCCTTTCTGTCATGTCTTCTGTAAAATCATATATTTTCATTGGACTAAATTTTCATGGTTTTTCAAAAAAATCTTTTTCATGTGTGCACAATGAATCAACTTACACTAATTTCAGTATATGAATTGTAGGGTGTAGAGTAATCCTGCAATCAAATAAAAATAAATCCTACATGATAATTGATCATTTTACTGTGCTCTTTCTTTGTATTAATTTCTGCTCTTCATGTTTTTCTTGAAACCTGTCCTCATATGACCCTGTCTGTAACTGCGACATCAGGCTAACTAGATATGTTTTCTTACATTCCCTTTCAGAGTTTAAGAGTTAAAGAATAATCTTAATGTAGATGATTTCCTTTATTGTCCAGGAAGGTCACGGAGAATAAAATTCTTCTTTTGTGAAATTGTAGTTTAAAACTGAGAGCCAATAAACATTTTGTGTTTTTTTCTGTTGAATTGTTGAAATTGGTAAAATTTCCCAGAATTGTTTAGCAAGGGCATCGTTATTCTAATGATTCATAATTCTAAACAAGTGTGACGACATTTACCGACAGATTGGACCAACACAACACTTGGCGTGTCACCAATGGCAGTTAATAAAGCAGATATGGTTTTGCCGTATGTACTAAAGGAGTTTACTCCTGTACCTGTGGCTGTGATAGGTAAGTGTTATGTGTGCTATTGAATATATCCCATGATAAGCCTATGTCTTAATAAGCCCACTCATATACACTGCTGTTCAGCTGAATTACAAGCAAATCTTATTTTATTGTCCTATAATAAGCCCATGTCTGGTAATAAGCCCATTCATATTTTCTGTTTAACTGAATTACAAACCAATGCTATTTCATTGTCCTGTAATAAGCCCACCCATATCTAGTGCTGTCTAGTAGAATTTCAAACCAATAATATTACATTGTCCTGTAATACGCCCACCCATATCTATTGCTGTCTAGTAGAATTACAAACCAATGCTATTTCATTGTCCTGTGATAAGCCCACCCATATCTATTGCTGTCTAGTAGAATTATAAACCAATACTATTTCATTGTCCTGTGATAAGCCCACCCATATCTATTGCTGTCTAGTAGAATTACAAACCAATGCTATTTCATTGTCCTGTGATAAGCCCACCCATATCTATTGCTGTCTAGTAGAATTACAAACCAATGCTATTTTTTGTTCTGTAGTAAGCTAATATCTGGTAACTAGCCCACAAATATCTCCTGTAGTTTAATTGAAAGAAAATACTATTTAGATATACTTCAGTAACGATTGACAATCAATCGTAATTTCACCCTCAAAATTCCTGGTGTCACAATCACTAACTCGTTAGGGATTTGTAGTGATATTAGAGACTTTACTTACAAGTACAACCCTTGGAATTTTGAGAATGTCATAATTTGATGTCTACTTATTTATTGTCTGATGAATGAATATACGGAAACATTGACCTAAAAATTCAATAAAAATTGTTGAAAAAGGCCCACTGCTGTCAGATCTCAGATGTTTGTTGTCATTTTTGGTACATTAAGTTATCAATTGTTTCTCCCATTACTAGTATAACACTTGAATGTAATCTTGTTGTCAGGTCTGGGTGCCATCAGTGCTGCTGTCATGTCCTCCATGGACAGCTCTGTCCTCGCATCAAGCTCAATGTTCACCAAAAATGTCTACAAACAACTTTTGCGACCTAAGGTAACAGATGTGTATTACCTTGCTCCAGGCTTATGTTATTTATCAATCACAGGGAAAGTGTTCCAATCTCTGCTTCAGTGCAGTTTTATTCTTTTACTCCAAGTTGATGTATGTTTCAGTTGGAATTTTAAGGAACTGATAACTACATTATATTGTGTACATATTACTGGAGTAATTGTGCCTTCAAAATTTGTTTTGTGAAGTATTGACCCGTTACTGATGAAATCAGAAATTCTATTCCAATCCTTCTATTAGTAAAATGTATCCTGGGAAATTCGCAGGTTCTTTTCACCCTAAAATCAATAACAACATATATTTCAACTTAAACTTGAAGCTCATTCATTGTTTCATTTCCACTTTTTGGACAGAAAATTGAAATAGAAGAATGTTTCATTTTTATGTACAGTAATCACTTAGTGTTAATCTTATAACATTTCACTGATAAGAAGTCTGCCAGTGTTAAATACACAGTACTGAACAGAAATGCTGTTTCACTGACCTGCAATAATTTTAATCTCAATTCTATATACCATTTGTTAACATAGATTACAGATAGTGTTTCGTTGCCCAACACTAGGCCCACACCTCACACTAAGTCAGGGTTTCTATGCTGATTCTTAAGTATAATGGTCAAAATTTCCACAAAACCTTACATAATGGAAATTCTTCTTAAAGCTCCCCCCAATTGTACACCTAATATCAGCTATTTATAGACCCATAAAGGTGAGAATTGATACCTTATATTTCTCTATAGTTTTCTACGATTGAAATAATAATTTTTGCCATTTAATATCATACAGATGTAATAGATAAAATTATTGTAAATTTGTATTGGTAAACACTTATTAATATTGATATTTCTTTTCAGGCTTCAAACACAGAGTTGATCTGGATCCAACGCATGGCTATCCTTACCATTGGCAGTACATCAGCAGTTGTCTCCCTTCTTGTGCCGGGTGTGTACGGGCTCTTTATTTTGGCAGCAGATGTTGTCTTTGTGATCGTCCTTCCTCAGTTAATCTGTGCCGTGTTTCTGAAATGGACCAATAGATACGGAGCTGTTACAGGCTACTTTACTGGGACCTTGCTTCGTCTTGGTGCCGGAGAATCAAGTATTGATCTGGAACCTTTCATATTCTATCCTGCATATGAAGATTTAGTGGGACAGAATTTCCCATTCAGGACATTTGCAATGGTTACATCACTTTTAGTCATTGTTATCGTCTCAGTTCTGACAAATGAACTCGGCCTTCCCCACACAAAATCTGCGAATGCTTACACATTACATTCACGAGATATCAGTTCAGAATATGGACAAGAAAGTCATTTAAACATGTCATGTACGAAATTAGACCAGCAGAATCGACACAATGGATTTACAAACTTTGATTGTCATGCTGTTACGGACAGTAACGAATATAAAGATGATTTTACGAACTGTAACTTTGAGAGTAATGTGAATTCCATTACAGATACAATTGAAATAAAGGATGATGAATTTACGAACTGCAAGCAAAGTAGAAAACGAATATCTGGAATAAATTCGTGTGGAGTTGTGAAAGACAGAGACCAACAGCATCAGGAATTGGTTCATTTAAACTCTGCCCTCACTTAATTTAAAACACAACAATTGTTTTGGTACAACATGATACCCCAGCAGAGGGTATCTCACTGTTTGTTTGGTATTTTACTTATCTTTTCACTAGCAGGTCTATTTTACTGGCAGATTTTGTTTGTTCTTTATTCATAAGCAGGACTTTATTCAGGCAGAATTTGTTAATTTGACATTTTCTTTAACATTTTTCTGGCAGGTATTATTTATCAATTCACTTTGGTTTTTTTACTAGCAGATCTATTTTAATGGAGAATTTTTTTTTCCATCAGTATATTTTTCAATAGCAGGTCTATTTTTAGACAGAACTTATGTGTCTGTCATTTGTCTTCTTACTAGCACTTTTTAATTTTTTGTCTACTTACTGGTAGGGTATATTTGTATTTTTCATCATCTTCTCACCATCCTCTATACTCCAGGGGTTACACTCACTATCCCTCTCTGTACCCCTGGAACCATCCTCTATACTCCAGGGGTTATACTCACTATCACTCTCTGTACCCCTGGAACCATCCTCGATACTCCAAGGGTTATGCACACCATCACTCTCTGTACCCCTGGAACCATCCTCTATACTCCAGGGGTTATGCACACCATCACTCTCTATACCCCTGGAACCATCCTCGATACTCCAGGGGTTATGCACACCATCACTCTCTATACCCCTGGAACCATCCTCTATACTCCAGGGGTTACACTCACTATCACTCTCTGTACCCCTGGAACCATCCTCTATACTCCAGGGGTTATGCTCACTATCACTCTCTGTACCCCTGGAACCATCCTCTATACTCCAGGGGTTACACTCACTATCACTCTCTGTACCCCTGGAACCATCCTCTATACTCCAGGGGTTATGCACACCATCACTCTCTGTACCCCTGGAACCATCCTCTATACTCCAGGGGTTATGCTCACTATCACTCTCTGTACCCCTGGAACCATCCTCTATACTCCAGGGGTTATGCACACCATCACTCTCTGTACCCCTGGAACCATCCTCTATACTCCAGGGGTTATGCACACCATCACTCTCTGTACCCCTGGAACCATACTCGATATTCCAGGGGTTATACTCACTCTCACTCTCTGTACCCCTGAAACATTTTCAAGCAAACTTGTAGACACAAACAAAGTAATTTGATTGGTTCAGAGCGAATTTCAGGAGAAAAAAAACTGACCAATCAGAGATGGATACTTTAAAGCAAACTATTATGTGAAGTTCATATTTTTTTGATATACACAAGGTGTTGCACATAAAACCTTCAGTTTTGCTGTTTGAAATGTTCCAGGGTTGCAGAGAATGATAGTGGACATAATTTCTGGAGTAGCACGGATGGATGCTCAGATTACGAGTAGGTCTATTCTCACAGAGAATTTGTCTGTGTCTTCTCAATTGCAGGTCTATTTCATATAGATTTCATCATTTGTCCACTTTTTTCTCTACTTTCTCACAAGTTTATTTCAACAGAGAATTTTCTTTATATTCCCACTAGCAGGTTTTATTTTTATGCAGATTCAGATAAATTTTCTCATTTATCTTTCTTTTTCAAATAGGTTAAAGGTCAAGGTCATCATTACCAAAAATAGATTTTCACTTTCAGACTCGTTATTGTTACAGTCCTTCATTACATGACACACTCGTGATTAGGACGAAACCTCACCAACATGTTGTGATGAAGTCTGGGCGTATACATGTCTGTTAGCCACACTTTGGACACATTTTAGGGTCACTATGTATAGGAATTACTTTGTCCATGTAATCGTTATTTGATTTTCGTGGTTATGGGTGAAAGTTAAATGTCAAAGGTCAATTTTGGCCCCTTTAGAACTATTTAATGGATTAACCCCTCAGTAGATTTAGATCAGAAGGAAAAGAATGGTGGGATATGTCTATTGGACCCCTGCTCACTTTGTTTTTATTTTCTACATATTTTCAGGATGCAACACTCGCATGTTTGCCTGAATAACATGACCTTTGCTTTGAAAACCCCTTTTATTAATATTTTCAAAGTCTCTGAAAATTTTTGATAATATGTTTTCTTGGGGAACTGTACATATATAATATCAGTTTTTATTGTTCTTAAATTGCGCTGTTTTGTTTTTTTCATATGTCTGATTTGTTATGACAATGATAAGGTTTTTTTTTCATAATAAGTATAGATATCTTAAATGAGTTTTAGTAATGGGTTTGTTTTTGAGAATTTTTTTTGATAGTATTCATCCTGCAGTAAGCCCAGGGGCCAAACCTAACCTCTGTCTCCATGTCACTTGGTGGGCTTATAACAGGACTTCAGGAGGCCAGCACATTACCTCTTGTCTCAAAGTCAGGTGATGGGCGTATTACAGAGCCTCAGGGAGCCAGCTTATAACCTCCGTGTCAAAGTGAGGAGGTGGGCTTATTACAGAGCCTCAGGGAGCCAGCTTATAACCTCCGTGTCAAAGTGAGGAGGTGGGCGTATTACAGGACATTAAAATAGTATTTTTTTAAATGCCACTTATTACACAACAAAAGATACATCGATGAGTTTATTACCAAGTACTGGCCAATTGTGGAATAGATGACATAGAATATGTTCTTGAAGGAAGGTGAATTATATTGAAAAGTAGAACTTTGTTAGTCACAAATGCATTGATAGAATTTTGTCTTTGCTTTGGAATTTTGGGATGCAATTGAAACCTCTTAATGTCACATCATCTTCTGTCACTTTTCTGTTAATATCACATTTCTTGAAATACTTTTTCATTCTCTGTATTATTCAATGTAATCCAATATCTTATAATGTCACTTGCTTACTTTTTTATACAAAATTTGTTCATCATGTTTTATTGGTGATTTTAATAATGATGATTTTAATAATGATGATTTTAAAGCCTAAAATGATATTTAAAACTTGATAAATATCTATAGCTATGAAGGGTTTTTTTTGTAGAAAAATTGACTACTAGTCATAGAATGTGTTATATTGATCCTAAAAATAATAATAAAAAAAAGGATTAATTGAATTAGTGATGAAAAAATTTCTGAAGTAAGAAATAATGACTTATATACATTAGTGATTCTAATGTTAATTGTATCACCATATATGGTTAAAAAAAAAAATGACGGAATCTGTAAATCGGGTATGTTGGTAGAGAGATTGTTTTGTGATTTTTCAGAAAAATACTGATTCGTTTATAACTAGCCCTGTTGGTTCTGTACTTTTTTCATTTTGGAGACATAAGAATTCATGGGTTGAGAATAGCCATGAAATCAATAGAAATAATTTCCCTCAAAAAATTGAAGATCTAGAGAACTACATGTTACTGTTTATAGGTGATAAACACACTTTATTTATTAAATCAGCATTAAATACATCAACCAAAGGAATTCCCAAATGTGGTTTCTGAATCATGGTTAAATATCCTCAAAAAGCAAGCTGAAGTTTTATCATTAACCTCTTACAGTCGAACCTCTTCTTGACTTCGGTGGAACCATGGGAAAACTTCGAGATAACCAAGTATTCCATTTAAGTGAGTTTCAATATTTTGTGTAAAGTTAGGCAGGAACAGACAAAATGCTTCAAATCAACAGGCATCTTCTAGTTATACAGTTCGAGATAAAAGGTTCGACTGTACTATACTCAGGCTTTTCCATCTAATGACGTTACATAGGCAGATAAAGACCAACCAATCACTGCCTTGCTTTCAAATGATACCACATGTGCAGGCGGTATCTAGTTACTTTTGACTGACGAAAGGCAAAACTTCTGTTGAGCTCGAGTCATCTAGATATGTGCATCACAGTGTTTGGTTTCAGTACTCAAGTTTCTAAAAGTGAGTTTAGTCAAAATATAACACAACTCAAGTAATCATTGATGATAAATCTCGGCCATAGCATATTTGATAAAGATGGCCTCTAAAACAGATACTACGGAGAAGTCCTTCGAAAGTTTTGACCCTTCAAATAGAATGATAATCCCCTCAAATAGTTTTGAAATTTAAAGAATCTTAAGCATATATATATATAAGGACCATTTTCTATATCGTTAAGTTTGTGATATGTTAATAATGTTTTAGATAGTTTTGGGTTTTATATATATACCATGATGGTATTTTTTTAAAAACTTTCTGCACAATCATATGTTTTTGAATATCAAACATTAAATTTACATAATTTGCATTAAAATGTTACACCAAGACTTTATATAATTTATTTTTCAGTGCTGTCTGAAATTTTGTGTGCTCAGGTGTACCTTTTTTCCATCAGTTAAATGGTATAATTGTTCACCATCATATGATGCATATTTTTTTTCTGTTCCTTTAATCATGGTTTATTATTGTTATTTTGTTTTATTTTATTTTGTAAAATCATTGAAAAGTGCTACTTTAGCTTGTTGCTTTGCAGATTTTTTCAATATATAAATACATGTTTTGTCCTCAATAGATACCGTATAATGTATACACACCCTCCCCCGGGATTGATAAGCCGTAAATGTATGTTTTATAATAGTTGCTTTCTGATATTTCTTACCATTGCTTCAGAATATTCTTCTTTTTTCTTTCTCTTTCTTTCTAGCCTTCTTTCTTTCTTGATTTCTTTCCTATAGTATTTCAACAGTAAACACTATATTTTGTACTTGGTAAGCTTAAATGTAATTTTTTGATAGAATTAGATTCCTCAACTTTGCTTCAGAAATTTCTTTCTTTCTTTAAATTTCTCTGTCTGTCTGTCTGTTTGTCTGTCTGTCTCTCTCTCTCTCTCTTTCTCTCTCTCTCTATTTTTCTTTCTTTGTCTCTCCCTCTCTCTCCCCCTCTCTCTCTCTCTCCCTTTCTATCTTTCTTTTCTTTCTGTCTTTCTTTCCCATAGTATTGTTACATGAAAGACTGTTGTACATAGTACAATAACTACCATTCTAATGGACATGAACATTAGAAGTATTACATTGAATACATTAATTTTTCCTTCTGTAATGACGGCCAATTTTTAAGTTTTTAGTATTTTAGTTAAAATCAAATTTTTTGGAATTGTGAAGGGATCTGATTTGTTTTATCGTTATACTTTACATATCGCTTGGTGAATGTCCAAATGTCACCCTGGAGTTTGCATGGAGATTTAATAAGTGTAAGTAAGTTTTATTGCTCAGTACACTTACATCAAAGATATCTCTTTAGAAGAGATTCATATTCATTGTGGTGACCGTTTTTAGTATGTCTTTCACGACATAAAAACTTGTTAAAAATTTTCATTAGCATAGCTATAGATTACATCTTGGTGATGTAGGTTTTGTCGTAATAAGATCTTGGTGATTTAGGTTTTATCATCAGTGCCAATGAAAAATAATCAGGCATTGATTAATCAAACTTATTTTTGATACATCACATTCCATTTTGTTTATTATTAATTTCATTGGTTATTGATATTATAATGCAAATCCTACAGATATATGCCAGTCATAGATAATTGCATTTAATTTTTTTTTTTCTATAGAATTTTTTTTTTTAAATGTTAATTTTGTCAAATGCATGAATTTATTTTTGAAAATTCAGTCTCCATGGTATGACATGACATCTTTATAACATGACATCTTTATGACATGACATCTTTATGACATGAAATATTTATGAATTTTAGTTTCTAAATTTAACAGATGTCTTAATTCTCTATCAATCCAGTGCTTGATTTATTTACAGTGCTTTTAAGTGCATTAACAAAGAAAAAGAATGTTTACAAAAAGATTATTAAAATAATTTAATTTGATGATTATGTTTATGAATCTAGTTTTGAATTTAACTGCTCATAGTCTAGTCACTTATTGATATGATAAATTGCATGTAAGTGTTAGGATATCTCAGCAGCATTTTAATATAATGGCTTCTCCACCAGTCAAAGGTGAAGAACAGTAAACGGATTGTTACCCTCAAAAAGATGCTTGAATTTGACTGAATCAGCAAAGTGTTTGCATCCAGTATGTAATAACTTTGCTGCTCATGGGCATCCGAGTTCAATTAAAATGAATGTTTGTTAAGGAAATTCTTGTCTAGATAGAAAGTTCAAATGTTTTTTAAATGATGCTTTGTTTGATGACAAGGTAATGATTTGAAGTCCTTGGAATAGCAAGATGATGATGGAATCCTCAGATACATGTAGCCATCACAAATCAGTGGTATTCCAGTGCACTAGAGAACTTGCAAAAAGCACAGTATTTTTTTCTAAGTCATATTACTTGTTTTGAGAACTTGCCAGAAGGTCAGACCTGTATTTTATCATATTGATCTAACTACTTTAACAATGTACAAAGTTTATATGACTTGATTATGCCCATGGTCAATAGTAATTTTGTACAATATGATAGATTAAAATTTCATCTGATTATTAAACATTCTGAATTCAGATTTAGATTTTGGGTAAAGAAATACACATTGTTTGCTCGTTATGAAAATGAGAATTACATATTCGCCAGAAGAATGTACTTCTGAGGATATAATACTGTATAGCAGGATATTTTTGCTCTGATATTTTCGCCCTTACATGATTATATACACAAATTAATTTCTGTCATGGTCATTTTACCCTCTGGGGATCATATGTAAGGGTTAAATATGTGCATCAAAATTGTGCCCCCCTAAAATTTGGACAAACTTGAACCTAAAATTAAGTGTTTATGGACAAGAACAACGAAAATCAAACTGGGGCAAAACGTTCCTATATACAGTAATTTCCATACCAGGTCAACCACTAATAGTTGTATTTCTGTAGATTTTCTGGTTCAGATGAAAAAAGTATGAAATGTTATTGGCAATTTTATATGTCTTTATTAATTAAACAAATAAATCTTGAGAAGATAAATTTTGTTATTTTATGTGAGTACACCTCAAATAAATCCTTCCTCCATTTGGTGTTGAAGGGAGAACGGATCTCTGTTCTGGCGTTTGTAAGACTTTGTGACGTGATCTTCAATTGGTCGCTTTCCTGAATTCGTCATTCCAGAGTTTTCAACGTGCAAACCCCCAGATGTTGGAAATTGAATGTCATTTGTGAAAGAATGGTAATTTCTGGTGGTGTTTTGTGTGTTATCGTAGTACAGGAATGACTGATGGTCAGTGTGGGGTCGAGGCTGCTGAGGGATGGTCGTCTGGTCCGACCTGTGGACAAAGGTCAAATAATGATGGTAATTTCTAAAACAAAGAAGGGATGTCAACAGTTACCAAAAATACTTAGCGGTTGTGTTGACAACAAACAATAGATAAAAGGAATGAGGATTCTAAACAATCACCAGGAAATGAAATGTCACTGGAGGATGCAACAAAATGTCTAGTGTATGTATATACTGCAGTGCTTAGTACTGATGACATTAACAAACTTATTAAGGACCGAAATTGCTGGCGTGAACAACCTTCATAATGACAAGAAATATTAACACCTTTTAAAGATTAAATTAACAACCTGAAGAGCTACAAATGTTGATGAAGTTAACGAGCTGAAGAGGTACCAGAACAGATGAAGTTAACCACAAGAGGCACCAGAATTGAGGAATTTAACAACCTTAAGAGACACAATCAGTTATGGACGTTAACAACCTTAAGAGACACAATCAATTATGGGTGTTAACAATCTTAAGAGACACAATACATCAAGGTTGTTAACAATCTTAAGAGACACAATACATCAAGGTTGTTAACAATCTTAAGAGACACAATACAACAAGGTTGTTACATCAAGAGACACAATACATGTTAACAATCTTAAGAGACACAATACATCAAGGTTGTTAACAATCTTAAGAGACACAATACATCAAGGTTGTTAACAATCTTAAGAGACACAATACATCAAGGTTGTTAACAATCTTAAGAGACACAATACATCAAGGACGTTAACAATCTTAAGAGACACAATACATCAAGGTTGTTAACAATCTTAAGAGACACAATACATCAAGGTTGTTAACAATCTTAAGAGACACAATACATCAAGGTTGTTAACAATCTTAAGAGACACAATACATTATGGACGTTAACAATCTTAAGAGACACAATACATTATGGACGTTAACAATCTTAAGAGACACAATACATTATGGACGTTAATAATCTTTAGAGGAAGAAGAAATTATGCTGATGTTTACATCCTTGGAAGTTGGATTGGTGAAGAAAATGGTCTAATAATACTTATAACAAAACTGTTTACCATAATTTAACACGTGAATATCGTACACAGTATTTCATATCTGATGTGAAAATCTGGCTGCATTGAAATGAATATTTCAGATATGACTGGATGAAAAATAAGACAACCATCTCTTTTCTTTACCCGTATTGAAAACTCAATGAAGGTTCATTGGTGTTGCTTGACAAGGGAAAACAAATATCACAGATGCAAATACAGCTTCATTTATAAGTTTGATATCAAAGATGGACACGGCAATTATTTATCATAGACAGAAAGATGGGATCGAGAAAATAATTTTGAAACGTACTCCAAGTAAACAAAATATAAAGGATACAGTGTTTTTTCGACTTTCTTTTAATATAAATGGTAATTGGAACATGTACTTTAACGTTATATTTATAAAGAAATGAAATGTGTTCTACCCTGTATATTTATAACACAGTGTACTGATAACATATATTGGTATGTACATACATGCGCGGTAGGTCAATCTGAGATATGTGGCTTATTTGAGCATTCCAGTCCAATGTGTTGGTATATCGCTGACCATCACAGCTGGACACAGGGGTCAGGACATGGCTCGGACTTGCATGAAGTGAGGGAATGGACACCTATAAATTTATAATAGATACATGTATTAGCATGCAAGGGAAGGATTTTTTTTCCAAAAATGATGTTTAGCGATTGATAGAAATGAATAAAGAAGATTTTAAAAATACCAATTGAATCAGAGTATTTAGAATAAAACACATTTTTAGAAAATGTAAACGAATTTAAGTATTCACTAGTGTGTATATTTTCAATTACCAAATTTTCTTATATTTTTCTAATATCTACATGTATGTCTTTCCCAAATTCAATTTAAGAAGATAGTTTTGAATACAAAAAAGCACGTTTTCGCTACTGGTTTAAAACTTAGTCACTTTATTTTCTTTTGTAACAAACATTCGTTGTAATTTTCGTAGTAATCAGTGTTTTGTTTTAACTAATGCATTCTTGTAATGGAATGTAAAAGAGACCCCCAAACTACATAGCGAAAAACAATTAAAAAATGACAGAAATGACTTTGTTCCTTTATTCGAGACGAATTTACTGTTTAAAACCGTGAAAGTCTGACAGAATGTAAGGGGGGTTTATACAAATATGTGTTTCTACACAACTACACATCATTTTGTTTACAACTCCTTTATCTATGATCAAGAAATTGAACAAACTGAAATATCCACTGACATGTGATAAAAATTAAGTGAACGTCGATGTTTGAATTCAGTATTTAGAAACTGTGACTTTAAAAGTTGAGTGAAATCTACCGAAAAATATCAATTTTGTTTTTTAGGAAATGTACGTTCACACTAGCTGCATGTCTAATTCAACCCCCTTACCTTATTCCATCTAGATTACACAATATCGTAATAAATTATTACAATTTAGTTATTATTGTATTACATTTGCTACTATCCTATTACATTTTATTACTATCATATTACAGTTGTTACTATTATATTACATTTGTTACTATTGTATAACATTTTATTACTATTATATTACATTTGGTACTATTGTATTACATTTTATCCTTATATTACATTTGTTACTATTATATTACATTTGTTACTGTTATATTACATTTGTTACTATTATACTATATTTGTTACTATTATACTACATTTGTTACTATTATATTACATTTATTATATTACATGTTATATTATATTACATTTGTTACTGTTATAATACATTTGTTACTGTTATATTACATTTGTTACTATTATATTACATTTGTTACTATTATATTACATTTGTTACTATTATATTACATTTATTACTATATATTACATTTGTTAATATTTTATTAATATATTACATTTGTTTCATTGTGATTGTATTACATTTTATTACTTATCTATAACAATATATTAGATATTATATTGTAATATTCTATATTCATTACCTGTATATGTCTCGGGTTAAAACCGAAGCTAGTGACGTCATCTTGTGGCGGTTGTACCCCTGTGTTAGGTATGGACTGGTGTATGAATGGCGGAGCATACGTGCTGCACTGAGACGAGCTACTCCTGAATTTGAAAATGGATTTCATTACTCTTATCGAACCATAAAAAATGAAAAATAACACTTAACTTGTTCAGATTGATCTAATGTGGAATTAACTTACTGTAACGTGAAACCTGTCTGTAAGCCAATATCAGGTGGACGGTCAAATTCAGTGGACGGCGTGTCGCATCCTACCACTGTATGTGAATCTGACAAACTCTGTCGGTTGTGACAACCTGATAACATGAAACAATGCATTGTGTGAAATCGAAGAGCTTACTGTTGCGTAAACAATTACAAATCAATAATGCGTCTAACAATGAAAACATTCTTATAGAAATTATGTGGGTTTTTTTTTATTTATTTATAAATTTGTATGTGTTGAATGTTTTTTGTTTTTCTTTTTTTGGTTGTTTTTGTTTTTTGTTTTGTTTTGTTTTTTAAATTCTTATATGGATACGAACCCATAATGTCCCTCGTGTTTGTAATGACGGAGTCCCTGGTGTCTGTGTGATCCTCAGAGAAGGTAGGCGTGAATGTTGAGCTGCCCCCAGGTATAATGCTTTCCTTAATGATGCTGGAATCTGGCAGGATGATCTCATCCGCGCAATCTGTGTCGTAATGATATAGCATTTGTAAAGTCAATCACATTTTTTGTTCTAATTAGTCATGTGTAGCATTTTGAACTTCAACGATATTTTATCGGCTAAACATTTACATGACATAGGATAACCTTCTGTACAAAAAATATGTTTAGAATAAAAAAAATAGTATCTATATCTTATTTTTATCGTGATAAAACGGCAAAGTGTGATAAATTCCATTAAAAACTTTCTTTGATAACTTAAAGCAAATATTAAGATGTAGTAAATTAACAAGCTGCAACAAATCGAAAACTGCCGATGGTATGACGTCACAGGCTTCCAAATTTAACTGGCTTCTAAACTTTTGATACATCATATTGCATTGTAACATTACCCGATGAGGCCTCCCCCTTAATGACCCTCAGAAAGTCGTTAGCCCTTTCCTGGCTGTGTATGTTCTCCACCAGATACAGAACGTAATCGTCGAACATCAGATGCATGAGATGAAAGGAACCTAAAAATAGAACAAACACAATTAGTACTTCATCTTTGGGACGTGGCTGCCTACATAACTATGTAATCGTCCACATCGATTATATTTTGCACCAAATACAGTTCTCTCTTAGTTGCTTATCAGTGACAGTATGAAAGCACAATCGATTTCAAAATTCAAACTCATAAATAAATAAATAAAAAAAAAACACATACAAAAAAAAAATGTGTTTTGTTTGTTCGTTACATTTTTAAAAAATTCTTTATTAAAAAAATATAATACAGTAAAACAAACAAAAACAAAATAAAGCAAATAAAAGGATCACGTACCGAAGCTCGGGGCACTGTGCAGTGTCATGTCACGTATCACTCTAGTACCAAAACACGACCACATTAGCAGGAATTGGCGCGCGATCTGACGGAGTGTGCCGGGCTTTTTACGGCTTGGCTGTACAAATAAAACAATTTATTTATATCTTAAAGTAGTGCAACTGTTAAAAACGACCCTTTAAATACATCTCATTATAACTGATGTTTATCATTTTTCCGTGTAAGGAATAAAAATATGAATGTTAAGTTGTATTTATAACAGTTGTAGAATTGAAAGTCGAATATGATTTTTGAAACACATATTTCGTTACAGCTGGTAAGTTTCTCTCTGTATCAGATTAATTTACATCAATAAATTGTTTACCAATTGAATTTGTAGCAGAACAAGAAATACACTTTTACCATAAATTATATTGAATAAATGCACTGATCGTTATGAATAAATATTGGAAAATAAAAAAAAAAAAATATTGTAAACTTACATATATTTTGTATGCTGTATATTTAGCAATATTTGTGGATGCGCAAAGTCATCATTGCATTTATTTAAAGAGTGAGTAAGTGATAAACAGGATTTCGCCAAAACATCCTATCATATAGTTTCCGTACAGCTAATAATTTTCACGGGTTAAACATTTTCGCGATTTACTTTTAAAACGATCAAATTCTACTTATTTTTTTCAAAATTTGTCGATCTTGACATAAAAGGACATATGATACCCATGTATCTCATTATTCCACGGATTATATTTTCGCGATCACGTTAATTTCCATCGAAATAGTGAAAATGTCACCCCGCGAAAATGACGGACTACACGGTAAATTAATATGTAAACATATGGTTACAGATACCTTGACTACACAACGATCCACCATGTTATCCAGCCATTCTATAAACGATTCTAGTGGTGCCTGCTCCTCCATCAACTTCTCGTACTCTGAGCATACTTATATGAAGCAAAATCGAAAAAAATTGTCGTTATTAGGCTTGCGATAGTTTTATACACAGAGTTTCAGCAATCTTGCTTGGCACATTGGATTTCAATTCATGTCTTCGAACACAAAAAGCAATATAGTTTTCTTATGGAAGTTATGTAAAGGTTTTTTTTTTTTTTTTAGTAAAAACTCTTTTCAAAACCTTAGATAATCCATTTCCACCTGATTGGCACATTGGATTTCAATTCATGTCTTCGGACGCAAAATTAATTTGGTTTTCTTATAGAAGTTATGTAACATTTTTTGACAAAAAACTCTTTTCAAAACCTTAGATAATCTATTTTCACCTGATATATTTAGAAAGTTATATCACAAACTGTACGTTTCTTTGTTAATTAATTTTCTTCAGTATGAAACAGATTCCTAACAACGTTTGTTCCACTCTCTAATCTGTGTCGGAGATTTAGAATAATTACAACACATTAAACATATTTTTTTCGACATTGGTGGCAGTTTTAATTCCTAAATAAAAAAGCCAAAAATTTTGTACAGGTAAAGGTTTGAAGACAACTTGTAATGTTGTTCTTAATTCTAAATTTGTATTGATAAGCATGTTCCACACAAGTTGCCTTTTATACGATCCTAATTTTATAAATACCTATAAAACCACACGTTTGACGTACAATTTACGATTATCTGGTGTTCCTTCTCGCTGTAGTTATCCATGGTATATAAAGTCTGTTTGATTATGCTGTTAAGATCAACGTTGAGCCAATCATCTAACATCTGTGACGTAATTTCCGCACTGTGTATAACGGTCCTGGCCGCTTGACAAAGGTGATTCAGAGACGTCTGACGTCGGAGGACCTGCGCAAAGCGTCTTGCAACTGCAAAAGTTGATGTTATGATGATATTGCATTGATATTAAAGGGACAGTTCTTCATTTGAACAACAGAAACACACTTCGCTATTATTTTTCAAATTCATACTTTAAAGAGAATCACACTGCCTGTCAGTGACTATATAACGGACACCGTCTATGTGTACAAGAAATCTTTATATTTCGGGTCGAATTAAGAATTTCAAAGTTTTGTGATCTAAATGCTTTGGTTTGTTCGGAAATTTTGACAGCTGAATAATGACCCTTTAAAGGATTGTGATACATAAACTTTTTGCAAAGAAGAATGAATTTAACAAGTAAAAACGATCGTGCTGAAGAAATATCTTCAGAGAACTATGAACTAAGAATGTATGTTATTAAAACACACATGCGCAATGCATGTTAAGTGGACAGATCCTTAGTGATTCAGTTTGTCACTGAACAAGTACTTAGGCAATCACGTGTTTCTAGTGATGGGCAGTCCTTAAAGGAAGAAGTGATTGGGATCATGAGCCAAATGTTTCAATGATTAATAATATAAAGATCAATTAGAAACATTTATCTATAGTAGTTTGAGAACATAATTATATTCACCGATGTGTTTTATCAAACTTATAACTCAACACCGCATGAAACTGAGTTACATGTCAAGTGAAAAGGCAAAAGTCACCAGTGTCACCTGCCCGGCCACGTGGGTTTTCCCCGGGTATTCCGGTTTCCTCCCACGCGCGCTTACATCCGGACCGACAAGAGTGATTAGAATAAGTTGAACTAACTAAATGGTTGAAAAATAAATAAAGTTTATAGTTAAATAAATACACCAATGAAAGTGTCGAGAGGAGAAATCGACATGGGACATTAATGTTCTTTGGTAATGATCAGTCTCATATTTCTGTATCTGATAAACATGCCTCCCGTGTCCAATCAGAACAGAAAATAGTTGTGTTAACTATTAAATGATACATTTACAACAGAAATGGAATAAGTATTAGCTTTAATTAGTTTTCGTTGCTTGGCAACTTATCCTGTCTTCCAAGTCACAAAAATAATCACAGCGTTACCAGTTGTCGTTTCTTTATTAACTATACTATGCTTTCCGGTACAAAAAAGCTGAACAAATTTGTAATTTTTTCAATAAGTATGCCTCATTATTAAATGCAAGCCTTTCCAAATTTTATGAAATGTCACAGAAGACTGAATATGCTGTGACTGTTACTGCTATTGAGATATCAACAAACGGGATTTAAATTGACATAACTTCTGGAATTAATTTTAAAATAAGGATTACAGAAGATATAAATGTAATGTTGTTAACCTATCTGAAAAGTTTTGAGTTCAACAGCAGATATTATGAAATGATTTGAAATAAGATATCTAAAGTCGTTTAATTCACTATCAATACATAAAGAAAGTTGGTAAAATCACATGAAAAGAAATTCAAAATTCAATTTTAAAAATATGGGGTAACATATTATCATTCAGTTGTAGGTTTTGTAAAAGCGAACAACAATTAGCTATACAGATATATCAAAGCACACAAAGTTTACTCACGATCAAATTTAATTTTTTGAACGCCATGTGGTAAGGAATGAAGCGCCGTTTGTAGCCAATCATCCAGCTGCTTAGCGAATCTTCTGATCACTTGCGTCAAACTGTAACAGAAACTACTATTAGCACTGCAGATCATCAGATATACTTAAAACACGTGTTATTGTAATATAATATAGCAACTCCATGTCAATTTGATATATTCGCAATATTCGCCGGGTGTGAAGAAATATTAAACATAATTTTCTAAAGCTGAATACGACAGATCGGTAACATAGATACTTACACCATTCATCGCAAAAAAAAAAAAAATAAACAACAGCACATTACAAGCATTGTCACAAACACAACTGATATTTGTTTAAAAAATAGTCACTTTTTAGGATTTGTGATGCGCATTTTCAAGAAAATCAAATTATTTTCTACAAAAGAAATTATACTTACCGGATGAAAAAAAACATTTTATCCAATTTAGAAAATACTCCAATGAAGCAAATAAACCTTGTACATTGAATTATTAACATAATTACAGCTGTGTATTAACGTTAAATTTCCGTTACTTCGAAGTATTTAGTTGTAAACGTTCTGTTTCCATGGTATTGTAAACATCTTTGAAGGAAGAACTGATTTGTATTTGTCTGAAGAAAACGGGCTATCACTTGTACAAAGAAGATACACAAATTATATCGATGGCTCTACTTTGTACACTGTGTCCCATTCTATATTTATCGTGAAAGGTTTTGATTCGTTTATGTGTTTTTTGTCTAATATTTTCAGTAGTTTACACTCATGTTGGATTTTCCGTCCTCGGAGGTTGCCGTAGGCAAATAAGAATCTTAAGAAGCACCCCATTCACTAAAATATTTAATGTTAAAGTTGTTATTTTATTGATGTCTCGTTTGTAGTTTCCGCAAATGATTTTCCTTGAAGCCGTAAACTAACTGTGAACGTAAAGGAAAATTCCTTATAAGGTTGTCTGATTGTCTGTGCTTATGAACGGGAACTACGTTTGCAAGCACATCCCTTACGTTACCAATGAAGTGTTATTTTCTATTTTTGCCTTTAATATACAAAATTATTTATGTTATGATATGATGTAACAAAGCCTAGTCCATTACATCTGACTAATTAGGGGTATCTATACGATTTATTGTAAACACATTGGTAGTACAGTGCATATGTAACACTCATTTGGTAGTTTTATGAAGACTAATGTTTGCATTGTAAGAATACTTATATAACTACATATCAGCTTTACAATTAAAACAAAAACAAAAAATAAGTTACAGTTGTTGTTATTGAGTTTTCTTTACTATTAGAGGATTCGTTTTCATATATCCGTGTGCTAAAATGACATCGATTTAACAGTTGTATTTTTAATATTAGATTATAAGTTTTTATAGTTCATCCAGGCCCCAAATGTTTGTAGAACTGTCGGCATGAGGACGTTAGAGATTTGTACAGACTGTCTTACCTTTCTGGCAGAGCTTGTAGAACTGTCGGCATGAGGACGTTAGAGATTTGTACAGACTGTCTTACCTTTCTGGCAGAGCTTGTAGATCTGTGGGCATGAGGACGTTAGCGATGTATACAGACATAGCTTACCTGTCTAGTAGAGCTTGTAGAACTGTCGGCATGAGGACGTTAGCGATGTATACAGATATATCTTACCTTTCTGGCAGAGCTTGTAGAACTGTGGGTATGAGGACGTTAGCGATGTATACAGACATATCTCACCTTTCTGGCAGAGCTTGTAGAACTGTCGGCATGAGGACGTTAGCGATGTATACAGACATATCTCACCTTTCTGGTAAAGCTTGTAGAACTGTGGGCATGAGGACGTTAGCGATGGCTTTGTAGAGGATTGAATCACAGACGCCGACGAGAAGGACAATGGTTTTGTAGTCCAGTATAGGAACAATATGTGATGGCATACCCTGCCAGAAATGAAGCAAAAAACTCTGTACCTGTAATAAAACAATTAAAATATGATATCTAATGGTCCAAATAGAGACAAACGAAGGAGAAGTTAAAACACGTCTTCACTCACCAAGCCGTTAACGACCTGTTGCAAATGAAATCCCTAAAATTTATAGAGAATGTGGGTACACGCAGAACAGAATACGTCTTCAGTATGTCAGAGACAGTATTTCTAACTCGTCAGCTCTTTCAGCGATGTTTTTTTTCCGACGGTACTTTGTATGTTTATGACATCAGTCATAATCTTCAGCATAAATTAGCGGTCAACATTTAGGAAAATTAGTTGTTGAATGCATCAGTCTTGGCCACTGGTCAAAACTGAAGCATTACGAAGTAGTTGAAATCAAAGTTTTCATTTATCATTAATCATTTTGGTGCTATGGGCTATAACCACAAAAATAAATCAGTCAAAAAATAGAAATAAATAGAGTAAAAGGAGAGGAAAATGGACAAGGCGTTCTGATTAGGTCTACCTTATGGCGGGGTACTTTCGCGGGGATGATATTCTCGCTATTTCGCGGTACAATAACGAGAGCGAAAATTCAATCCGTGAAATAGAGTCACGTTATTGGATTGTTTTCATAAGGAAATTATGTAATCATTAAAACTACCAGTTATACAGTATTCTCACTTTTTCAGTTCCGTTGTGTTTGTTGACTTCTTCGTAAACTTAATATATGTTTACTCAAGATAATGTTTTAAATCAAATTTGTCCTTCAATGGAAAGTATAAAGGTATCAGCTTTACTGTTTGTTATAAAAACGATATGATGCATGATTTTTACAACAGTTACGGCACATTAATTCCATTCAATCTTCATTATTTTTTGGCAGAACAACTTCAGGAAAATAAATAAAAGAAAAACAACACATTTAACACAAATGTGAAACAAGTTAGCTTAAGTTCATCACTCCTATTGCATGGGATTTCCCAGTGGTATCGGAATGATAGCCCTGATATAGATGACAACCGATATGTTTAAATGTTTCCATTTGTATTAACTTTATCCACTGTACTTTCCTTATTGAAGTTCAAGTTTATTTGTATTGAAAAACTGACCTCGTCAAAGTTGGCCCTGATGACCGTGTCCAAGATTCTCTGACAGTGCGTCCTGTACATCACCATAAAGGTAAAAACCTGTAATATGGACATATATAATATCAAGTCAGTGGTAGGATATGAAAATCTGTAACACAAAGTCAATGGTAGGATATTAAAATCTGTAACACCAAGTCAGTGATGAGATATGAAAATCTGTAACACCAAGTCAGTGATGAGATATTAAAATCTGTACCACCAAGTCAGTGGTGGGATATGAAAATCTGTAACACCAAGTCAATGGTGGGATATTAAAATCTGTAACACGAAGTCAATGGTAGGATATGAAAATCTGTAACACCAAGTCAATGGTAGGATATGAAAATCTGTAACACCAAGTCAATGGTAGAATATGAAAATCTGTAACACCAAGTCAGTGGTGGGATATGAAAATCTGTAACACCAAGTCAATGGTGGGATATGAAAATCTGTAACACAAAGTCAATGGTAGGATATTAAAATCTGTAACACGAAGTCAATGGCAGGATATTAAAATCTGTAACACCAAGTCAATGGTGGGATATGAAAATCTGTAACACCAAGTCAATGGTAGGATATGAAAATCTGTAACACCAAGTCAGTGGTGGGATATGAAAATATGTAACACCAAGTCAGTGATGAGATATTAAAATCTGTAACACCAAGTCAGTGGTGGGCTATGAAAATATGTAATACCAAGTCAATGGTGGGATATGAAAATCTGTAACACGAAGTCAATGGTAGGATATGAAAATCTGTAACACCAAGTCAATGGTAGAATATGAAAATCTGTAACACCAAGTCAATGGTGGGATATGAAAATCTGTAACACCAAGTCAGTGGTGGGATATGAAAATCTGTAACACCAAGTCAATGGTGGGATATGAAAATCTGTAACACAAAGTCAATGGTAGGATATTAAAATCTGTAACACCAAGTCAGTGGTAGGATATGAAAATCTGTAACACCAAGTCAATGGTAGAATATGAAAATCTATAACACCAAGTCAATGGTGGGATATGAAAATCTGTAACACGAAGTCAATGGTAGGATATGAAAATCTGTAACACCAAGTCAATGGTAGGATATGAAAATCTGTAACACCAAGTCAATGGTGGGAACACCAAGTCAATGGTAGAATGATATATTAAAATCTGTAACACCAAGTCAGTGGTAGGATATGAAAATCTGTAACACGAAGTCAGTGGTAGGATATGAAAATCTGTAACACCAAGTCAATGGTAGGATATGAAAATCTGTAACACCAAGTCAATGGTAGGATATGAAAATCTGTAACACGAAGTCAATGGTAGGATATTAAAATCTGTAACACCAAGTCAATGGCAGGATATTAAAATCTGTAACACCAAGTCAATGGTAGGATATGAAAGTCTGTAACACCAAGTCAATGGTAGGATATGAAAATCTGTAACACCAAGTCAATGGTAGGATATGAAAATCTGTAACACCAAGTCAATGGTAGGATATGAAAATCTGTAACACCAAGTCAATGGTAGGATATGAAAATCTGTAACACCAAGTCAATGGTAGGATATGAAAATCTGTAACACCAAGTCAATGGTAGGATATGAAAATCTGTAACACCAAGTCAATGGTAGGATATGAAAATCTGTAACACCAAGTCAATGGTAGGATATGAAAATCTGTAACACCAAGTCAATGGTAGGATATGAAAATCTGTAACACCAAGTCAATGGTAGGATATGAAAATCTGTAACACCAAGTCAATGGTAGGATATGAAAATCTGTAACACCAAGTCAATGGTAGGATAGGAAAATCTGTAACACCAAGTCAGTGGTAGGATATGAAAATCTGTAACACCAAGTCAATGGTAGGATATTAAAATATGTAACATCGAGTCAACACGTGGTTGTAAAAACTTGTAAACTCAAGTCGACAAGTCATTAAGTCGACACGTGAGGCGTGACAAGTCAGTTAATTGACACGTGAGGCATGATAAGTCATCAAGTCGATACGTGACACATGACGAACACAACGTAGCACATGAGGCGTGAAAAGCCATCAAGTTGATAAGATAATCTACACCCCAAATAAATAAGTATTCCTCATAAACTCCCTTCAAAATTATCTTATTTTTTAATATATCAAATATCGCATAACCTTATCTGTGGTATGGTTAAGCACCGAGCCAGCATTGTTCCGTGATAAAATGGTATCTTTAAGCTTTCCATATAATTATGAATATCCGTATTCTCGATTTAAGCTCATTTTCATTCGTAAGTGATGAAAAAATCATCATATAAGGTTGAAGTTACAACTTAGATGTTTTAATTACATAAGCTTATATTACTAATTGATGACTTTCGATAAAAATATTTTCACATAGCTTTCAAAAAAACCGAGTTCGATCTCATCTGATAAATATTTCGAGAACTATCAGTTCAATCTCATCAGACATTTTCGGCTGTAATAATATTTTTCATCAATTTGTGACCGTGATAGAGTTATCTAACCCGAATCTCGTGTAACTGAATTATACATCTCGGCAATTTCCGGTGACTAAATTATAAACCTCTATCATACCATCTCGGCAATTTCCGGTGACTAAATTATAAACCTCTATCCTACCATCTCGGCAATTTCTGGTGACTAAATTATAAACCTCTATCCTACCATCTCGGCAATTTCCGGTGACTAAATTATAAACCTCTATCCTACCACCTCGGCAATTTCCGGTGACTAAATTATAAACCTCTATCCTACCATCTCGGCAATTTCCGGTGACTAAATTATAAACCTCTATCCTACCATCTCGGCAATTTCCGGTGACTAAATTATAAACCTCTATAATACCATCTCGGCAATTTCCGGTGACTAAATTATAAACCTCTATCATACCATATCGGCAATTTCTGGTGACTAAATTATAAACCTCTATCCTACCATCTCGGCAATTTCCAGTGACTAAATTGTAAACCTCTATCCTACCATCTCGGCAATTTCCGGTGACTAAATTGTGACTAAATTATAAACCTCTATCCTACCATCTCGGCAATTTCCAGTGACTAAATTGTAAACCTCTATCCTACCATCTCGGCAATTTCCGGTGACTAAATTGTAAACCTCTATCCTACCATCTCGGCAATTTCCGGTGACTAAATTGTATACCTCTATCCTACCATCTCGGCAATTTCCGGTGACTAAATTGTAAACCTCTATCCTACCATCTCGGCAATTTCCGGTGACTAAATTGTATACCTCTATCCTACCATCTCGGCAATTTCCGGTGACTAAATTGTATACCTCTATCCTACCATCTCGGCAATTTCCGGTGACTAAATTGTAAACCTCTATCCTACCATCTCGGCAATTTCCGGTGACTAAATTGTATACCTCTATCCTACCATCTCGGCAATTTCCGGTGACTAAATTATAAACCTCTATCCTACCATCTCTGCAATTTCCGTCAGTACTATAAATACATATACTGTGTAGTATGTCTTTTGACCTTACCTTCTCCTCGGCAATATTCGGTGGTAGTTGAATATCTTTGATATCGGGAAACTCCGGAAGTAATGTCCCTAGTTTGGATCGTGGGGAGTAAGCTATAATCTGAAAAAGGACGCATTCCATGTTAAGCAGGTCAGTTAGAATTGTAATGTAAACAATTTCAGGAAATTAAACGGGGAACGTGTCCCTTCAAACATGTAAGGAAAACAACTCAAATTGAGCCGATGTAAAAGTTAAAATAAAGAATTGATGAAATGCGTCTGATAGATAATGGTATATAATATTTTTTACAAAACCTTGTAAGTCTCTAAATAAGAAATAGGTCTGAGTTATATGAAATTTGAACAAAACGTGGTAGGTTTCTACATCAGAAATATATTTGAGTTGTATGATATTTGTACAAAACGTGGTAAGTTTCTACATTAGGAATATATTTGAGTTGTATGAAATTTGTACAAAACGTGGTAAGTTTCTAAATAAGGAATAAATATGACTTTTTCTTCATTTTCAAAAATATTTATGAAAATATATAGAGGAAATAATGTTATTTAGCAACATATGTTGTTCAATAACTCTATTTTCTTTATTTCAGAACGTTAGACTGATGCTATCCGGATAAGTTCGTGTCTTACCTGTTTTACGTTTTCTTTTTTACCTTCCGCCGAACTGTAAATATAGAGTAATAAGTAAATTTATGGAGCCGGATTTATATCTGTTACGGTTCCGGGTACGATTTTCTTCTTCGTTTTGTTTATTAGTTATGTAATTGATTGTCTGTATATGTCAATAAATCATGGAAATCATTATCGATATGCCTGTCAGTATTTGTACTTATTTGTCAAAAACAACGTTAAGACATCAATATGGAACTTGGCATGATTCATGGGAAAATTATATGATAATTGATTACTGAATCACTAATATGTCTACATTATGACTTTCACTCACTCTTTCTGCTGTATTGTCTAATTAGGAATTAATGAAATTAGTGTTTTACTGTTAGGATGATTAATTGAAATCAATATTTCTTATGCAAACTGGGGTTGGTGTTGGTTGGGGAAGAAGGAGTTTAAGGAGATCAGCGAGAAATAAACATGAATAATAAAACCTCCTATCAACTCCCAACCCCGCCCCCCCGCCCCCGGCGTCCCCCCCCCCCCCCCCCCCCCCCCAAAAAAAAAATCCCGAAAATTGAGGATGTATATCTGTGTAACTGTTACCTTTCTTTTGTTGATTCGAAATAATGTAATATTAAAATATAAAAATAAAAAATCGATTGCATTACCAAACAAGGACTATACCTCTGAATGCCTTTGGCGGAGTATATAAGTTCGTAGTAAATAGAGCTCTCCCGCACGCCGATTCCATAATAATGGTACCTATATGTAGAAAAGTGTACAATTATATACATATAAACATTCACGAGATGCGTAAGAATTTCTGTGGATGTACACTAGCCATTACACATTGTATACAACAGGTCAATCATGTGTTTATATACATGTATTGGAGTAACGTTATTCAGAATCCGGTCACTTGTCTGCGACTTCTCATACCCAAGACGCCCTTAACTGATAACAAGTGCCTCGGACTTACAGATGTAGCTGTCTGTGGCAATGCCTTACTCTAAATTTTTGTTAGTACGTATTGAAGGCCTCTTATGAGTCCACCTCATGGCAACGAACAATACAGAAACGAAAGGCGCTACAGAGTGAGTAAGGGTATTTAATAGTGTGAAATATATATAAAGAGAAAGTAGACATATTTAATACACTTCTTAGACTGTAAACAATTAAGAAATATCGTAGTTCGTATATCAACGCTATAGATAAGCATTTTAGTTAAATCACAACAGCTGCGAAGCTATCGCAAGCTGTTTGTGACCATATATGCCACGTGATAAAGGTATATCTGAAATATTCTATATATAGCTGTCTGACCCGCACTCATGTACGCATTGAACCACGGACAGAAAACCTTATTCGTGAAAAAAAGTTGTCAAGTTATCTGGCAATAATAACATTTCTATCAATAAATAATTATGCAAACAAGAACATATAGCTTAAATCATGATAACCCATCACGGGTAATTGAGTCTAATCAAATTGCAACTCGCATTTATGTATCGGTTCCGTAGTGTAGTGGTTATCACGCTCGCTTCACACGCGAGAGGTCCTGGGTTCGAGCCCCAGCGGAACCAAGATATCATTTTTTTTAAAAATTTTTTTTCGTGTCATATTTTTATAGTTGATGGTTAAAAGAAAAGGTTATCTGTTGGATATATGTATTTATATATAAAGGAATACTTTCAATCTTTTTCATAAAATATTGAACAAAATACAACAGATAGATACCAACGTGTCAAGATATGTATACACTAAGTGGATATTTCAAATAAGACACTTTGTATCCATAGAGGTGAACTATTAAATAAAAATTATATTAATTTATAGACAGGAAATAATGCTTACTTTGACTGTCCCCTGGTACCGAGCCTCCGGGTCGTTATCTGGGGAAACTGTTGTCGTATGATCTGGAACAAACGACGAAGCTATCTGTTTTAAAGATTTAAATAGATAATATCTTGTACTCGGTTTTGATCAAGTACAATTAACATATCAACCTTAATAGACCAAATACAAAGCAGCCACTCAAATTGTTTATAAAAGGGTTGTTGTCATGCCAACAGAGATATGGTTAAAATTTCAAGTCTATTCGTGATATTTATACACGTTTTAAATGGGTATATCAACCTTCGGTAAAATGACATCCCTAAGAATCTGTAATTGTTAATTTAACTGGGACCTATCCTGGTCTGTTTAGACATGATGAAGGAGTTACATCAAATATCAGAAATTCAGAAATGCCCCCGCCCCCGCCCCACCTTCCTGTATATCTATATTTACACTCAGAGAGTCTGCACTATATACAGGTACAATGTTTCTGTTGAGTACAAAAGACCGTTTACAGAAAACGCCATTATCTTTATGTTTACTACGACACAAACAGAAAAAAACATATATATGTATTCAGAAAAAAAGTAAAAGTGACATAGTATGAGGAGTGAAATGATAGAACCAATATGACTACTAAGCAGGTTACAGCTTTCTTCCCGACGGAATATTTCACCTTTCCAAAACTGGCAGCATTGACAGGTTGTGTGTCTTTTTTCTCACAGTAGTCGAGATAATGGTAGTACAAGGTGCTTCGAGGAATACAAACTCCAATGGCTATCTCGTAGTTATCCTCCAACCTGTAATTAAATCCAACTCTGTTATCTCGAGCTATATTGCTCAAGAATTAAACGTTTATCTCAGCTTTTTTCTTCTATTTTTATGGTGGCGCAGTGGTAACGCACTCGCCTTTCACCTAGCCTAACCGGGGTGCGATTCCCGGAACGGACGTGAAAAGGTAAGGAATCACCTGCCCGACCACGTGGGTTTTCCCCGGGTAGTCCGGTTTCCTCCCACAATAAGACCCCTGGCATGCTTAAATCGGGGCCAAAAAGAGTGATTAGTATAAATTAACATAACTTGTTTCGCAATTGTTGTAAAATAAATAAAGTTTATATTTATATAATATTTTTAAATCGTTGTATTTGTATCTACTACCCAGTTATCTCGATCTTTTCACTTTGTCATATCGGAGATTTAAAGAATTTGTCCCTATCTGTGATAATATCGGACGTGTCTTATTTTCTTGTCCACACACATTAATTTGGAATAGGAAATCGTTGATCACTGCTGTTGAACACATGTGTAAAGTATCAGGGACTTACCATTTAAGGGTCTGTGGTGTCGAATGGGGCTTCGAGGCAGATCGTAATTTCGCAAATGTACCTAGAAATAAATATATTATTTTCTGAATTCGACACTACAGCGTTTTTACAGGTAGATCCCCGAATCGTTTTGTTAACTTTTACACACATACATTTGTATTCTATATAAACGGACATCATTTCGTCATTTTGTATTCGAGATCTTCACAATAACTCCAAGGAATGACGCCTAATATTTTTTGAACTAAATTAAACCCTCTTGATATCATTTCCACTTTTCAAATAAAATGATCCGATATAGTCTTACATAGCTTCAAGAAAAACCAATTTCCTAATATTTGTAAAAAATAGATCTCCTTCGTATATTTTTATCAAAATATCTGCTGACTTGATCTTAAATTCTATATAAAAAATTCTACACGTGTAAGATGAGATAAAAGTAAAGAGATGATGTGTTACAAATTTGGAACTAGAGGGATCCCCCACAATATGGCTGTAACCGACGTGCACTTTTAGTTGTATAGTGGTTAACTAAAGCCTGTTGATCCCATTATGACTGATGTATACCAAATCAATTACATGTATATATTTTTAAGCGAACACTTGAACATGTCAATTTCAATTTCGCGTTTCACGTACAGCTGAACCGATGCTATCTGTACATTTTTCTGAAATTAATTTCAATATGTTTCAATTTAACAGATTGGAATAATTAAAAAAAATATCATGAAAATTAAAATAAATCAATAGATAAATCAATAAATCGATAGATAAACAGATAAATAAATAGATAAATCGATAGATAAATAAATCAATAGATAAACCAATAAATCGATAGATAAATAGATAAATCGATAGATAAATAGATAAATCGATATATAAATAGATAAATAAATCAATAGATAAACCAATAAATCGATATATAAATAGATAAATAAATCAATAGATAAACCAATAAATCGATAGATAAATAGATAAATCGATAGATAAATAGATAAATCGATATATAAATAGATAAATACATCAATAGATAAACCAATAAATCCATAGATAGATAAATAAATAAATAGATAAACCAATAAATCCATAGATAGATAAATAAATAAATAGATAAATCGATAGATAAATAGATAAATATATAGATAAATCGATAGATAAATAGATAAATAAATAGATAAATCGATAGATAAATAGATAAATAAATAGACCGATTTCTGCGATAGAGTTGATAATGTTACACTCCTTCAGATGATCTACGTATGCATGTTGGTTATCCAAAAGACATAACGAAGAACTGTCCTTAAATCTAATTCACGAGGAAAAGAAATGAAATTTATTTTGTGAAAACTTCAGACATTCAAATATACATAGAGCCAAATACTTATATTTTTGAATTAAACATATTTTATTGCAAAAATTATTACAATAGGATTAGGTGCAAGTTATTACAACTTATGAAACACCCTTTCCCCTTACTTATATTATTGATTCCGTAATGTTTTTTCTCTCCTCTCTATTTTTCACATGTTTATGCATTTGAAAAAATAAAAATACATTGATCTGAAATTATTCAACCAATTTATTCGTATTTTTCAAATGCACAAACATGAGAAAAGTGAAGATAAGAGAAAAAAATATTGCGGTATCAACGTAAGTCATTGGTGAGTTTACAAGTCATTACAATAAATAAAACAAAACTTCGGTTGCTTTCTGTTGATCAACGTCAGCATTATCGTGAACTATTGAAATTTTAATGATTTGTAAGCATATTGTTTTGAAAACATTTAATCTAATTTCTTTATTTATTCATTCCTTTATCTCTAGGTATATTTGTAAACCGCTTGTGAAATGTAATAATACACAGAATAGCCCAGAGGTTAATGGTTAAGTTACAAGGACACTGATTTAATGTTATATTACTTACGAAATGTATTTATTTTACCCCCACCCCCACCCCCGTTTCGTGCGATCATACATCGAATAGTGGCATATATTTCAATAACATTAATTTCAATCTGAATTCCTCAACGATGTGCGGAATACCTTTCAATAGTTTATGTGGAAGACTATTATTTTTAACTTGAATATTTGTGGAGTTCAAAAAAAAGGAAGAAAGAGAGAAAGATTGTCAGACACGTGACATTATATTAGCTGTAATACTACAATGACCATTCTTCCTTGATCACATATTCTTTTTCTCAATTCAGTATAAAATAGTGATAAGACACGGCTGCGGAATGTTTGACATAAAAATGTACTAGTAAATGAACAATCGGCAGATAACATTCACCTCCTCAAATGTTCTATCTGACGAATTGAAATGTAGCCTAAACAACAGTTCGGGAAATATTTTCTTGAAAAAGCAAAAATATTTAAATAAATTGATATGAAATAAATATCAAACATGTTACGTAAGCTATTTTGAAACAATATAAAACCAGTCACCTTTACCTAGTTTGGCGTCAATGTCGTCAGAGAACCCGGATGTGGTATTTTCATCGCGATTGTCGCCGCCCTCATCTGTGGTATCGAGTTCCTTTGGTTCGTCGACACAGTGCTCAAACCAATCATCTAAAAAGACGACAAACAAATATTTATTATTGAAAATAAAATAAATTATATTTCTTGATAATTTTGTGCTTTATCGAGCTGGATGTACGTTCTGATGAGAAACTCTACCAGGAGTGCAAAGCTAAATTTTCTCAGATTTGCCGCAAATTTGTAAGCCCCGTTGTTTTTTTCCTGAACGACGGCATCAATTTAAGGTATAATCTGTTCTCAACGTTCTTGAAATATGGAAAAATCTACCAGTGAAACATTTCGATTTTTGAGTTTTCCCGCTTTGGTCTCTATCATTATTGGGTCCTAAGAGGATGGCAGTCGTTTGACCTGTTTTATCCAGTACTCGGTATAAATGGAATACATTTGTAAACTCTTAATGGAAAAAATGCAACACACTTGTGTGTCTATATACGTGTTGAAAACATCTTCGTTGAGATGGTGATACGATCTTCGAACAGTCTATGGGCAATCACGTTAGAAAGGAGAAATACATTGACCACTGCATCGTAATAATGACGGAAGTTCTCGTTCGGTTACAATATCGGCGTGGATTTTGGTGTAAAGATATTTTAGGGGGCTATGGAAGTTATTTTACTCAGTTGCTCTTCACTCTCTTGGCTGATTTGGTTTTTGTGTCATATCGAATAGCTTATGATTAAGGTTACACAGGCCCTGTCAAATAATCAAATATCATTTTAAACATAGCAACGATGTCTTTTCAGCCAATAACACGACATTGTTGCTTAGATAATCTCACCAGAGTTGGAACAAGAACAGGACTGGTTCTCTATCACAACTTACCTCGGTCTCATTCACGAACACAACCAACAAGGATAGTTTTCCACAAAACTTTAATAAACCGCGAGGATTTTGATTTTTGTAGGCAAATTTAACTAGATAGTAACGTCCTTCATTCTCTGATGGATGTCGAGAGTTGACGGGAAACATCTTCATCAAAACATTGAAATTTGGGAGATGCAAGTTGGTGACAAGTTACAGGGAGGAAATGTAACTCGCCATCTCAATGTTTATGGGTATATCTGAACACAAATGTGTAATTTGGTTTATTTTTTAATTATTAATGATTAACCTTATGATTCATCAGATTAAAACTGTCTATACAATCCTAATCACAGTAGAAACATGAGTAAAAGGAAATGGGTTATTCTTAAAATATCTAAAAAGCGAGATATAAAGGGAACCCTTATCTGAACGAAATTGATCCTTCAGAGAGATTGACTGTTTTAGAGTCGAGTTTACGTGATATGTATCGTCGATGAAACAGAGAACACATACCCTTCCTTCAAAAAGATAAATTAACCAGAAAGAATCTTATGTTTCAATAAAAATATCAAAGTAATGCTGTCACGTGATTGTGATAGTACATTTCGGCAGATAAAGGATACGACATGCAGTTTCTATAAGACATGAGACCAACTTCTGTTCAATGTGAAGGATAGAAATGGTCAGTTAATTTAATGTATAATACAAAAACTTAGTTAACGGGGCACAGACGATACACAGGCCGCAATCTTTTCTGATGAAAACCTAGACTACTGATCTAAACCGAGTAAACGATTATTGATAATCCTGATGGATTCGTTGGACGCTCAAAATGTTAGATTTTTAAAAATATTGTTTACGCTTGATTGCTTTCTGCGGGCGGCGCTGTATTTTTATCGATTTTTAAAGACAAATTTAATAATATATATATATACTTGTATTGCTTCTATAATGTATGTTTCATCATCATCATCATCATCATCATCATCATCATCATCATCATCATCATCACAATCATTGTCGTCGTCGTCATCATCATCATCATCATCATCATCATCATCATCATCATCATTGTCGTCGTCGTCGTCGTCGTCGTCGTCGTCGTCGTCGTCATCATCATCATCATCATCATCATCATCATCATCATCATCATCATCATCATCATCATCATCACAATCATTGTCGTCATCATCATCATCATCATCATCATCATCATCATCATCATCATCATCATCATCACAATCATTGTCGTCGTCGTCATCATCATCATCATCATCATCATCATCATCATCATCATCATCATCATCATTATCATCATCATCGTCGTCGTCGCCGCCGCCGCCCGGTATTATTTACATCAAGGATTCTTTTAAGGCTGTCGTATATATTAGTGTATATCATACATGGTTTGTATTTACTACACAAGACGAAATGAGCACCTTTTTAAATGAAATAAAAAAATATGTTCGATGACACTGATGATATATGACGTAACGGTAAATATTGATAAATGTCTTTGCAGTATAAACACAGAAACGACAGGATACAGTGATTATAACCCGTTGACCATTTCGTTGGAATGTCACAGAGCCTGCAGAAGCCCATATTCAGTAAGTAATCGAAATGAAGTGCGGAAGAACGTCATTTGAATCCACAACAATACGGACATTCATTGAGACCTATAGAAATGGCCCTACGTTGACGGAGTGCATTGCGGTAGTCAAATTAATAAGTGATTACACGGATTTTACGCCGAGTGGGGGACACCTGGTTGAGGAAGTGGTGTGTAAGATCGAAATTAAAGAAATGAAAAATGATCCTATTGAGTCTGTCAGACAACCTTTTCTATGTCGTGTGTGATTAGTTTCCCCGGGCCTGAATTAAACACGAGCTCACGCCGCTAGTTGTCCATATTTACAATTTTCAACCATAACCTATCCTTGATGCGGGCGATCGTGGTATTGGCTTTTTAGCATTATTTACGTTAGAATACGAGACCTGTAAATACTGTACGGTTGCGTGCATCTAATGGTTTAAAGATAAAGGGAAATTACAAAAAGATGTGGGTTTTCCAGAATGCATACCAGAGAAAATCCGTTATTCGGCTTGGTGTCTATAACAAAACATATAGCTGGTGCTTTGATAGATATCGTATATGTGGGTGATTCGTTAGTCACTGTTTTGTGTGGTTAGTTATAGATTCTGTTTTACACTATCTTATCGATAATGTACAGTTTTTTTACTTGATATAGTCATTGATATTAATTTATGGATTCGATGATATCAGCTCTTCCTATATTTTTTGGTTTGAATATTTAATATCTCCAAGTTGAGTAAATCAAATATTTTTTCTTGCAACCTTTCAAATGCAGTATCAGTTAGTCGATGAATCCCAAATTGATGACGTTCGTGTAAACTTATCAAATTATATGAAAATTGTTAATTTTGGTGAATTATGATGCTAGTACGCCAAATTATCTCGATTTTGACTTTTCTTTATTGTTCCTAAGTCCTTGGTAACAAAATGTAGGCCTTTATCATCACTGACAAGTCAAAGAAGCACAAAAAAGCTCTGTGTTTAAGTTAAATTCATTATTTTGATTCTATCGACGATTGTTATTAAAGACATTAACAAAAATGTGCTATTAACTCGATGGTCATTTGTATTATCTTTGCTTTTTCATACATTGGTAAGTGGACTCATTTTGAATCCTAATTATATCCTCTTTGGTAACAGCAGTTTTACATACGTAACAAATACCGGGTACTTACTTCCGTAAATGTAGAGTTATTTCTTTTGTAAACAGTGTAAATTCTTTAATCAATCTTTTAATTCAAACGAGTATTTAACAGAGAGTATTACACTGGTCAGTAACAGAGAGCATTACACCGGTCAGTAATAGAGATATTACACCGGTCAATAACAGAGAGTATTACATTGGTCAATAACAGAGAGTATTACACCGGTCAGTAACAGAGAGTATTACACTGGTCAGTAACACCGGTCAATAACAGAGAGTATTACACTGGTCAGTAACAGAGAGTATTACACTGGTCAGTAACAGAGAGTATTACACCGGTCAGTAACAGAGAGTATTACACTGGTCAGTAACAGAGAGTATTACACTGGTCAGTAACAGAGAGTATTACACTGGTCAGTAACAGAGAATATTACACTGGTCAGTAACAGAGAGTATTACATTGGTCACTAACAGAGAGTATTACACCGGTCAGTAACAGAGAGTATTACACTGGACAGTAACAGAGAGTATTACACTGGTCAGTAACAGAGAGTATTACACTGGTCAGTAACAGAGAGTATTACACTGGTCAGTAACAGAGAGTATTACACTGGTCAGTAACAGAGAATATTACACTGGTCAGTAACAGAGAGTATTACATTGGTCACTAACAGAGAGTATTACACCGGTCAGTAACAGAGAGTATTACATCGGTCAGTAACAGAGAGTATTACATTGGTCAATAACAGAGAGTATTACACCGGTCAGTAACAGAGAGTATTACACTGGTCAGTAACAGTGAATATTACACTGGTCAGTAACAGAGAGTATTGAAATGTCAGTAACAGAGAGTATTACACTGGTCAATAACAGAGAGTAACAGATGTATTACACTGGTCAGTAACAGAGAGTATTACACTGGTCAGTAACAGAGAGTATTACACTGGTCAGTAACAGAGAGTATTACACTGGTCAGTAACAGAGAGTATTACACCGGTCAGTAACAGAGAGTATTACACCGGTCAGTAACAGAGAGTATTACACTGGTCAGTAACAGAGAGTATTACACTGGTCAATAACAGAGAGTATTACACTGGTCAGTAACAGAGAGTATTACACTGGTCAGTAACAGAGAGTATTACACTGGTCAGTAACAGAGAGTATTACACTGGTCAGTAACAGAGAGTATTACACTGGTCAGTAACAGAGAGTATTACACTGGTCAGTAACAGAGAGTATTATACTGGTCAGTAACAGAGAGTATTACATTGGTCAGTAACAGAGAGTATTACATTGGTCACTAACAGAGAGTATTACACTGGACAGTAACAGAGAGTATTACACTGGTCTTTATCAGAGAGTATTACACTGGTCAATAACAGAGAGTATTACACTGGTCAGTAACAGAGAGTATTACACTGGTCAGTAACAGAGAGTATTACACTGGTCAGTAACAGAGAGTATTACACTGGTCAGTAACAGAGA